CACTTACCAACCTGACGACCTAGTTATACTCGACACTCAGAACCTCCGACTGCCCATCACCCCAAAACTCCGCCCCCGATATCGCGGGCTTCGCATAAGCCATATGATTAGGGCGTATTCCTACGGCCTCCTATCAAGAAACCTCCTATCAAGATTGTACCTTTTGCCTGGTAATAGTAGCGAGAGATTTTGGGTTTAGGGAATTTTCCAGTGAGAGCTTGATAGGAGGTTTTCTTGATAGGAGGATAGGAATATGCCCTTACGCCCGTCACCGCCCACCTCCTCCTCCCCGCTGACTGGTACGTCAGCCCCTCATTCCACGTCAGCCTGCTTCGCCCTTACGACCCGTCCACAAGCCAACTGCCACGTAATCGCCCAGCCAACATGACACGACCGCCGACTGAACCAATCATCACACCCGAGAAAATTCTGAGCCACAGAGTTCGTGACCCTCGAGGAGCCCGAAGGATCGAGTTCCTGATCCGCTGGAAAGACCGTACACCTACCGAAGACAACTGGGTTCCCCTGGACAGAGTCGAAAAGCACCCCGTACTCACAGAGTATCTGCGCAGCCGAAACTTCAGGGATGTACACGCCCTTTCGTAAGGAGGACCTCCTTAGGGGGGGGGATAGTGTAAGGAAAATTGCTTTTCCTTACTTCGCGTCCCCGTTCAGCGCGTACACCACTGTAGCACCACAGTCAGCACCGTTACCACTCGCAACCCTCGCATCGACAATCCTCCCGCCACCTTCGCACGTCGCACCCCGACCTCACGGCTCGGCGGGTAACCCGCGCTCCGGACCTCCGCTTCGACATTTCCCCAAACCGCAGTCCCAGGCCTGTAGCGCGACAACCACAGTCCATTACCGTTACTACTGTAGTTTCGCTATATATTCTTCGCTCATGCCTTCGCTCATTGGACTCTTGCTTCGATAATGCAATTCTCGCTCGATCACTCAATTGCACTCGTAACAGTCACAAACAACTAAAAATAATCATCTACAAATTTCTTGATTTTGGCGAGTATAAGGAACTGGTGTATTTCGATTGTGGAAACTGGTTCGTGCCTCGTTGGCAGAATATTTTCTTTCCAGCGCTACACAAACCCAACCAAACCTTTCCCCACTGTCAATTCTGCTCCCTTGGGAGTCCCGTTTCTTGAATTCTTGATCTCCCCTCGTTCTTCCCACCCCAAATACCTTCCCACTCGTTTTATTAGAACCACCTTGCCGTCACCTCTCCCTCACTCCCGGCCGTCGCCTCACCTCACCCCCCACTGTCGCCTCTCCCTAACTCCCCGCCGTCGCTCTCCCTTCCTCCTCGTCGTCGCCTCTCCCTCCCTTCCCGCCGTCGCCTTTGGTGGGTGGGTTGCTGCACGACCACGCGTTGTTTTCTTAGGCACGGTTGTCTCAGGTGCGTTTGCTACTCTCTCCGAAATGTCCTATTTTTTCCACTTTCCTCGTAAGTTCTCAATGCCGATTGGTCTCCTCTTAGTATTGTGCCTCCATTTTAAGAAGGGGAGAGAGGGAGTGTGAGGGAGTGTTAGGGAGTGTTTGCGCACGGGAGCAAGCACGCAGGCGCATAGCGCGCTGGCGCCTAACGGGCTGGCGCCAAACGCGCTGGCGACTAGCGCGCTGGCGCCTAACGCGCTGGCGCCTAGCGCGCTGGCGCCTAACGCGCAGGCGCCTAGAGCGCGCCTAGCGCGCTGCCGCCTAGCGCGTTGGCGCATAGCGCGCTGGTTCCTAGCGCGCTGGCGCCTAATGCGCAGGCGCCTAGAGCTCTGGCGCCTAACGCGCTGGCGCCAAACGCGCTGGCGCCTAGCGCGCTGGCGCCTAATGCGCAGGCCCCTAGAGCGCTGGCGCCTAACGCGCTAGCGCCTAGCGCGCTGGCGCTTGCTGCGCTGGCGCCAAACGCGCTGGCGCCTAGCGCGCTAGCGCATAGTGCGCCGGCGCCTAGCGCGTTGGCGCCTAACGCGCTGGCGCCAAACGCGCTGGCACCTAGCGCGCCGGCGCCTAGCGCGCTGGCGCCTAACGCGCTGGCGCCTTACGCGCTGGCGCCTTACGCGCTGGCACCTTACGTTTGGCGCCTTGCAGGTGCCCTCGCAGCGCGCTGGCACCTTGTAGCATGCTGGCGGCTTGTGTGCTGCTGCCTTGTTTGCGGCGCTGGCAAATTCCTGCGGCAGCCTTGTTGCGGCAGCGCGCTGGTAAATTTGTGCACACGCTCACGCGTTGCTGCAGTGAGCTCACGCGTTGCTGCAGTGAGCTCACGCGTTGCTGCAGTGAGCTCACGCATTGCTGCAGTAAGCTCACGCGTTGCTGCAGTGAGCTCACGCGTTGCTGCAGTGACCTGACGCGTTGCTGCAGTGAGCTCACGCGTTGCTGCAGTGAGCTCACGCGTTGCTGCAGTGAGCTCACGCCTTGCTGCAGTGAGCTCACGCGTTGCTGCAGTGAGCTCACGCCTTGCTGCAGTGAGCTCACGCGTTGCTGCAGTGAGCTCACGCCTTGCTGCAGTGAGCTCACGCGTTGATGCAGTGAGCTCACGCCTTGCTGAAGTGAGCTCACGCATTGCTGCAGTGAGCTTACGCGTTGCTGCAGTGAGCTCACGCCTTGCTGCAGTGAGCTCACGCGTTGATGCAGTGAGCTAGCTCACGCGTTGCAGCAGTGAGCTCATGCCTTGCTGCAGTGAGCTCACGCCTTGCTGCAGTGAGCTCACTCCTTGCTGCAGTGAGCTCACGCCTTGCTGCAGTGAGCTCACGACTTGCTGCAGTGAGCTCACTCCTTGCTGCAGTGAGCTCACGCGTTGCTGCAGTGAGCTCACGCCTTGCTGCAGTGAGCTCACGCCTTGCTGCAGTGAGCCCACGACTTGTTACGGCAGCCCGCTTGCTCCTCTGCCAGTGCCTTGCTGCAACTCTCTGGCACCTTGTAGCATGGCGATCCCCAGCTCGTTGCACCAAGGCACCTTGCTCGCTGGAGCCTTGTTGCACACCAGCGTGGTGTGCGTGACCCCAGGGGATCTATGCTTCAAACCACGCTTGTGAGTCGTCGAATTCGGTTTTCTTTCGTACTTATCATATTTCTTTCAAGTTCCATTTCACAATCAAGTGCGTGTTCGTCATTGAATAGTTCACTCGGTTTTCCGACTACAATTCTTTTTCTTCTTGACCTGTTTGTTTTGCAAGGTGTGCGAGACGCGTTGTGGGGAGCAGGGAGGGATCGAGAGAGAAGACAATGTGGAAAAGGGTGGGAGGAGATTTTGATGGTTGAGGGAGAGGAAGGAAGGCAAGAAGGGGGAGTAAGGGGGGGACAAGGTAGAAGTGATTGATACATAATCAACTTTTTGCAACTCTTTGTTATGCTTGTCTGCTCTCAATCCTATTTGTGTATGTATGTGTGCGCGTTGCGGGTGTGTTTGTGTTGGTGTGTGTTCATGTCTTGCCATTGTGTTTGTTTCACTGTGGGGTTTTACGTGCGTTTGCATTCGTGTTTTTGGGATGTGTGTTTCAAAGTGTGGAGTTAGTATGTGTTATGTATGCAATTAGAGGTTGTTAATCGTCTTTGGGGCAGCGTGTTTTCGCTGTTTCAACGACCCCATCAACCTCTGTTGCTGCATGATGCATTTTAACATTCATTTTGAAGCATTGACTCCACCTCATACCTTGTTCATTTGTACAGTTGCATTCGTTCATGCTGATGCCAGAATATTATGCTCGGCCGTACGATCCGCCGTATTTATCGACGAGGTTGTGACGGTCAAGCAAGTTCATGGTTTCAACATGATACGTACGTTTTTCGTGTTTTGGGGATCTCATTCAAGAGTGTTTTTTATCCACTGTTTGAGGCATCCGTTTGAACACAATTTCAAAACATTCAAACGAGTGCTCCAAAAGTGTGTAAATGACACTCTTCGAATGATATCCCCAAAATGTGAAACCAAATATAAAGGGTTGCTACGCAACCTAAAAAAGAAACTACAAGGCTAATGTGCTTCAGTCACCCAGGAAAAGCTGCCTACAATGAAGTTCACCCAGTCGTAGCCTAGGTTCACCCAGTCTCACATGATTGGATGGCATTCCAGACACCAAAGGACAACGGAACAACTGCACAGCAGGGTCCTTGTTATCAGACCAAATTGGTCTGATGGTCTGAAAATCAGACCTACTTTTTCTATTTCATCTGATTTTGAAGACAAGCAATTTTAGTTCGTCTGATCCATAAGACCATAAATTTTATTTCGTCTGGAAAATCATACTCGGCGTTATACTTCATCTGAAAAATCAGATAATGCGTACGTTTTCGTCTGACACCAAAGTACCTAGTGCTTCCCTCTTCCCCCTACCCCCCACGTGCTTCAGCCTCCCAAGACCCGAATTCCCTCGCTCCTCCCCACTACCTCGAATTCCCTCCCGCCCTGCCACAATCTCCTAAATCAGCACTCGTGCCCCTTCCCCCCCTGTCCGTCTCGTACGTAGCCCAAGCCCCCCACTCCCCTGTCTCTCGCAGGCCAACACTTGCCCCACTGCCCCATTCCCGCTCTCGCGCGTCGCAGCCCAAACCTGTTTAGGTTGTGTCGCTCTGTCTGATACAAGTAAAACAGTGCACAATTCAAATTTGAAAAAACAAAAACAGACCACTATTATTTCATCTGAAATTTCAGACATGGCTTTTTCCTTCGTCTTAAAAACCAGACCAGAAAAAATTCCCCGTCTGAACGTCAGACGAAACCTTTTTTTGGTATATACTTTTCAGACGGGCTTAAATCCTAGCAAGAGCCCTGCTGCACAGGTCTAATCAATGAAGACCAACCAAGTGCACTACAGCAAACCAAGTAGGACTGATGCAAATTAAATAGCAATGCAGCAAACCAGCTAGAACTGATGCAATCCAAATAGCAATTCAGCAAACCAAAACGCACTGCAGCACAGCAGACAGCCCTGCAGCACAGCAGAAAGCAATGGAGCACACCAGACCGGTGTCGAGCAGGCGAGCGGATTGGATAGCAGCTAGGGCACGCAGAGGTAGCCGATGCAATTGGTGAAACTCTTGACACACTGCAGCCCGGTGCAGCGCCAGTCCGAAGGGCAGAGGACGGGTGACGCGGAGCCGCACACCATGTCTGCACGCACAAGAACACACAGAGTAGCAGGTGGGAGGGGCAGGGGGAGAGAGAGAGAGAGAGAGAGAGAGAGAGAGAGAGAGAGAGAGAGAGAGAGAGAGAGAGAGAGAGAGAGAGAGAGAGAGAGAGGAGAAAGAGTGTGAGCAAGAGACAGAAGGCAGTGCTGAGATGGCAGCGCCACTCTCTGTGAACCAGAGGCAGCACCAACCTCACTCACCCCAAGCACTATTTCCCCCCCCCCCCCCCCTCCTTTTCCCTCGCCCTCCCCTCCCGGCACTTACTGACGCAAGCCAGGGGCAGCGTGGCAGCGCCGGCAGAATTGGGAGTGCCGGCGTTGAAGGGTGCGGAGGCGTCGACGGTGTAGACGCCATAGCCGTAGCACAGCATGCCCTGCCCCGTGCTCGACTCGCAGAAGCTGCACCTTGTGCTGCGCTGCACCGTGCCCTTGGTGGTGCACCCAGTGACGGCCTGGAAGCAGTTGTTGTTGGCGCCGCATGACGTGGCGGTGTTGGCAGGGAAGGAGCGCGAGAGGAAGTTAAAGCCCACGTCGATGTCCTTGAGCGCTGCTGACACCGGCGGCACACGGTATGTGAGGTAGTTGTAGGACAGGCCACTGGTGCGAGCAGGATGAGGGGTGGGTGGGGGGGAAGAGGGGGGTGAAAGGGAAGAGGGGGAGGAGGAAGGTTGGAGGAGTAAGGATGGTTGGAGGCACGGATATGCTGTGCTGATGGCTCTGAACTTACGAATGAGGGTAATTTTCTTGGATGAAAACAGGTCAGGAAACGAGCAGGGCAGCTAAATATAGTGGGGGGCTTAGAGAGAGACTGACAGGCGTGTGAGCTTGGGCATGCCAATGATTGCCGGAGGCAGACTGCCAAAGAACCAGTTGAAGTCGAGCAGGCTGCAGGAGACTCACGCACAGACAACGCAGGTTCACACATGTGCACACACACTCACACACACATGCACACAAAAGCACACGCGCATGCTCGTGCAGGCACGCACACACACGCACACACAAAGATGTGCACAATGAACATATCACACACCCATTCACATACAACAAGAAACCAGAGGAAGGGCACAGATAGTGGGTAAGTTGTCAGGGCAAGATGTGGCGTTGAGGTAAGCTGACAGGTGGTGCTGCTGTGAGATGAGCAGCGGCCCACGTGGGCCGAGTGGATGCAGAGAAGCCATTGCACTGCTGTGGGCTGTGAGGTTGGGAGGCGACTCACAGCACTGCGAGGTTGGGCAGCGATGGAATCCGGCTGCCAAACTCCTCCAGACGCGCCCTGAAGAGGTTCGACTTGAGCGAGCTGCCGTCCCATGCCAGTGACACACGCAGGGAAGGGGGGAGGGGAGAAGAGGGAAAATGGGAAGTGGAGGAAGAGGAAGAATATGAGAGCAGGGTTGGAAATTGACGAACAACTGTGCGTACAACAAGCGAGCATGCAAGTGCTGTGCACCGATTGTGCTGTGCAACGATTGTGCTGTGCAACGATTGTGCTGTGCAACGATTGTGCTGTGCAACGATTGTGCTGTGCAACGATTGTGCTGTGCAACGATTTTGCTGTGCACCGATTGTGCTTGCGTGAATTCGAGTTCTCACGCATAACTTTTGTATGCATGATGCGAGCTTTAAGGCAGAAGTTGTTTTACATGAATGTGAGTACTTGGACAACAGTTGTGCTTTCATATATGCGAATGCTTAATTAAAAGTGAATGCTTACATAGATGTGAGTGCTGTCAGCTTGGTGATGTCAGCATGCAGAATGCCAGATAGCTTCTGACTGTCCAGGGTGCTGTGAGAAGGCGGGGTGGTGGGGCAGGAAGGTGGGAGCAAATGGGGAGAGTTAAGGCAGGATGGTGAAGCCAATGTTGGGTGGGGCCAAATGAGAATTGCAGAGAAAACACACAAGAGTGCTTTGACGGAAAAATCCCCTGCTTCTCTCCCTGTCCTCCTCTCCAAGCGTCCCTTCCAGTGATTCAAGAGAAAGGCAGTTGTGAAGAAGCGAGCCTTGGAACCTCCCACCCCTTTATGATGCGCCCCCCACCCCTCCTGTGGTGCATGACCCTCACATCTTGACGGGGTTGCCCAGTGAGTCACACTCAACGCCCGTGAAGCCACCCGCGCTCAAGCTGCCAGCAACACTGCAGGAGGAGGAGGAGGCCGCCCAGTTGGTGTACGTCACTCCCAGCGCCGTCTTGATGTTCATCAGCGCCGATGCTGGTGGCGGGAGGTGGTGGAGCAGATGGGCATGGTGAGAGGTATGGGTTAGCTTTGCACGTGCGCAGCAATGGTGAGAGGCATGGGCCAGCAGCAGCATGAGGCACAGGCGCAGTCATACCTGCAGTGGCGTCCGTGGTGACGGGCGGAGTAGGGGGGCAGGTGAAGGCGAGCAGGGGGGTGGTGGGGGTGCGGAGGGCAGTGGAGGCCTTGACACCCGCCGGGTCGGGCTGGCAGATGATGTTGTTGCTGCACAGCGTGCCCGTGCCGTCTGCGCTGTTGCAGATGGCACATGAGGCGCGCTGCGTGACGCCCTGGTTGTTGTTCTTGCAGGCCGTGGGGTCGGAGAAGCAGTTGGCGCGCGCCGTGCAGATGGGCCAGTTGGTGGTGGCGGGGAACTTGCCGATGAGCCAGTTGTTCTCCAGATCCAGCACCTGCACCGCTGCCCCCAGCACCGGCACCGACCCCGTCAGGTAGTTCCACCCCAGGCTCCTGCTTGCATCACACACACACACACACACACACACACACACACACACACACACACACACACACACACATACACACACACACACACACACACACACACACACACACACACACACACACACACACACACACACACACACACACACACACACACACACACACACACACACACACACACACACACACACACACCACACACACACACACACACACACACACACACACACACACACACACACACACACACACACACACACACACACACCACACACACACACACACACACACACACACACACACACACACACACACACACACACACACACACACACACACACACACACACACACACACACACACACACACACACACACACACACACACACACACACACACCACACACACACACACACACACACACACACACACACACACACACACACACACACACACACACACACACACACACACACACACACACACACACACACACACACACACACACACACACACACACACACACACACACACACACACACACACACACACACACACACACACAAACACACACACACACACAACACACACACACACACACACACACACACACACACACACACACACACACACACACACACACACACACACACACACACACACACACACACACACACACACACACACACACACACACACACACACACACGCACGCACGCACGCACGCACGCACGCACGCACACATACACACACACACACACATGCACACATGTGGACGGGAGGGTGTGTGCACGGCATGTGGCATGGCGCAGCAAGGCAGGGCATGCGGAGGAGAGATGGAAGCTGGGAAGGGCGGTTGCATGGAGGGAGGCGAGGGCTCACAGCATGGTGAGGCTCTTGATGGCTGAGATGGCGGAGGGGATGGAGCCCGAGAAGAAGTTGTAGTTCATGATGCTGCGCACAGGGGTGGACGAGGGTGAGGAAACGGGGGGGAGGGGGGGGAGGGAGTTAGAGGGGCACTATCGCACACGGTAGGTTAGGGATGAACGGAGACAGGTAAGAATGGAGAGCGGCAAAGAACAAGGAATATGGGAAGGAGCGGGACGGGAGAAGCGAGCGGGGGCGGGGCGGGGGCGTACAGATTCTTGAGTGCGGTGAGGCCGGTGAGCGGCGAGATGAACGGGTCCAAGGGGCCAGACAGGAAGTTGCTTGACACGTCCCTGTGGGGGGGTAGTGGGGAGGGGGGCAGTGGGGAGTGAGTGGCAGGCATGAGCGCAACGGGCGAGTCTCCCAGTGGGCTTGCAGGGAGATTAGCGGTGGGAACAAGTGGCGAGGAGAGGCAGTGGGAGCAGGGGAGTGTGGAAGGAGCGGGTGGGCGGCACTGACAGTTCTGTGAGGGCGGTGAACTTGGAGATGCCGGGGTGCATGATGCCGCGCATGAGGCGCTGCTTGAGGAAGAAGTCGACCACGGTGCCCTGCTCACTGCAGTAGACGCCCGACATGTCGTCCGGCCCCCTCAGCTGATTGGTCACACAGCACAGCGTCTGCACGCCCCACCCTTGGTGCGGCACTCCCAGCGCCGTCTTCATGTTCGCCAGGATCGGCACTGCGGGGAGGGGGGTAAGTAGGGGGTTGCACAGAGTGATGTAGGCAGATAGGAGCACGCAGAGGGAAAGAGAGTGTGAGGAGAGCGGAGTGCAGAGAGGGCAGAGAGTATGGCATGCGGGACGAGCAGCAGAGCAGGCGGAGGGTGGAGGCAGAAGGAGGAGGGAGAGGGAGGAGGCAGAGAGACGCACGGGCAGCGGGGTCAACGCGGACGCCAGTGCAGACGAGCGGCAGCACGGCAACGGAGGCGCTGTTGGGCGTCTTGGTGGCGAGCGGCGTGGCGGTGTTGGGCGCGCACACCCCCCCACCGCACAGCACCGTGGAGGCGCTGCCACCGCAGATGGTGCAGGCGGCAGCAGCGCGCTGCGCAGAGGAGCCCGAGGAGACACACTTGGAGGCGTCGAGCAGGCAGTTGTTGCGCGCGTCACACATGGTGGTGGAGGATGCTGGGAAGGAGCCTGCCAGGATGTTGGACGCCACGTTGATCGTCTTGAAGGCCGCTGTTGGGACGCCCGTGATGCTGCCGGTGAGGTAGTTGAATTGTAGGTTGCTGCAGGCGGGGCGGTAGAGTGGCAGGGCAGTGGGGTGTGGGGTGTGGGGTGTGGGTTGAGACCACGTGAAGGAAAGGGCAGACGTACACACACAGGATGTTGTAATGTGTGGGTGTGTGTGTGTGTGTGTGCGTCTGTATGTGTGTGTATGTGTGTGAGAGAGAGTGGGTGCCACTTACAGCGTTGTGAGGGACGAGAGAGTGAGCAGATAGGATGGCAGAGGGCCGGAGAACCAGTTGTAGTTGAGAGCGCTGTATGGGGAGGGGTGTGTTGTGTGATGCAATCATATGCATTCACATCTGTCTGCCTCCCATCATATGTTCGTGCGTTGCATGCGTGGTGTGAGCGTGTGCAAGAAATTGTGTTTTGTGTGGTTTGAATTTTCTGAGTGTGTGCAAATGTTATTTGGCTTGAGCAGATATCTGAAGTGACTTCTCTGCTCAAGAGCTCTCCGACGAACCAAGTATCGCTTCAATCGGAGCACGATCAAGAAAGTTACGAACGTTGGAGTTTGTATGCTTTTCATATTTGATTGTGGCAACTGTGGGAAGTTGTGGGATTGACTCAATATGGGGTACAGACTTTTGGGGGTTGGGAAATTCGTCTTTTCTACTGTAGTTGCTGCCAAATGGTTGGGAGAAACCAAACCAGGTTGGCACGTGTGGCCAAGTTGGGTTGAGGTGGATTGTGGAGGTTGGGATAGTGACAAAGGTCAAAGTTGGGCTGCCTATGGGGAAGGGAATTGTGTGGCATGGGGTTTCCTTGGTTGGGGACTCTCTTGGGACCTTCCCTCTCGTCCTCCTCATCCCCTCCCACCTGGTTGATTCCTGCTCTAACTCTCTTGTGTAGTAATTGTGAACTTATGTGAGACTATTGTTTTTGAGTTAAGATTCTATGGCAGCATACCCCCTAGTGCGCCGAAATTGATAACTCAAGAAATACTTCACCTTTTTGGGTACGACTCAACATGGGAATTGTAGCCACGGAGTAGAGCTACAACATATCTGAATTTAGTGAAGTTTTGACCGTGAACTTTTCGTCGACGGCGTTTCTTGTGAGCGCGACTTTTCTGTCCAGAATTCTAAGCCAACGATTTTGAGAAATTTAGGCACCTAATCTTCATACACTCCGTCCTTAGTCTCTAACAGGGTGGAGTGATGGGTTACTAAGAAAGGGCAGGGAGCGGTGGTGAGGGTTGGCGGACGGTGGTGGGGGTTGGAAACGGTGGACATTCCAGCACAGGGAAAACAGGGCATTACAGGGCAGGGCAGGAAAAACAAGAAGGGCAGGCACGTAGGCAAGCAGGCAAGTAGGGACAAGGCGTAGAGCAAGCAGGGCATGGCAGAGCAGGGCAGGGCAGGGAAGGCAAGGAGTGAGGACAGGGAAGGCAAGGAGTGAGGGCAGAGAAGGGAGGGGCAGAGCAGGGCAGGGAGGCCAGGGAGGGCGGGAGCGGGGGGGCACTGACAGGTGCTTGAGTGCCTTGAGGGTGGAGAGCGCCGTGGCCCACTCGCCCAGGCGTGCCTCCAACAGGTTGGACGCCATGTTGCTGCGATTGCCGGGGGGATGGGGACAGCAGTTAGGAAGAGCAAGAAATGAGGGTGGGTCAGGAAAGGATGGACGTGTTTGCATGGGGCAATGCGCTCACATGGTTGAGCACGGGGAGTTCAGCGTGAAGAGCAAAAGAGAGGACTTGCAGAGTGATGGCGCGTGGGTCCCTAGCTTAGTTGGTGGTGCAAGTGTGGGTGGGGGTACAAGTGTGGGAGGTGGTGCAAGTGTGGGTGGTGGTGCGAGTGTGGGTGCAGTGGCAGCTCACATGCGGGTGAGCGCAGTGAGCTTGGACACGTCGGCAGGCAGACTCCCCCGCAGACCCATGTTGGGCAGCTCTCTGGGTGGGTGACGTCAGCATGCCCCAATGCCCCCATGCCACCATGACACCATGCCACCATACCAACATGAAACCATGTAGCACCACAGGAAAACACAAAGCAGCCCGGTCAGAAGAACAATGGCAGCCCTGAGAGAAACGAAGAAACGGCACCACATCATGTTGGGAAATCTCCTGCGCTTTCAGATCTCCCAGAGTATCCCTTACACAGCACGTGCAAGGGCATGCAGGGCGAGCGGCACTGACAGGGTGAGGACTTGGCCGGTGGTGTCGCAGCCGACACCCGCCCAGCTGCCGGGCATGGGCGGGTTGCCCGCCACGTCGCACGGCGAGTCCACCAGCCAGGTCGTCTCCGTCACTCCCAGCGCCGCCCTCAGCACCAGCAGCGCTTGCGCTGCTCTCATGCACATGCACGAGGAGGGAGAGGGTGGGGGAGAAGAGGAGGGGGGGGCAAGGTAATTACGGAGGGAAGTGAGGGGAGAGGCAGGCAACAAGAGGCATGGTGCACTGTGAATGCACATGTGTGCATGTGCGCGCATGTGTGTGCACGTGCGCGCATGTGTGTGCATGTGTGTGCATGTGGGTGCATGTACGTGCATGTGTGTGCATGTGTGTGCATGTGCGTGCATGTGCGCGCATGTGCGTGCATGTGTGTGCATGTATGTGCATGTGTGCGCATGTGTGTGCATGTGTGTGCATGTGTGCGCATGTGTGCGCATGTGTGTGCATGTGTGCGCATGTGTGTGCATGTGTGCGCATGTGTGCGCATATGTGCGCATGTGTGCGCATGTGTGCGCATGTGTGTGCATGTGTGTGCATGCGTGTGCATGTGTGTGCATGCGTGTGCATGTGTGTGCATGTGTGTGCATGCGTGTGCATGTGTGTGCATGTGTGTGCACGTGTGTGCGTGTGTGTGCATGTGTGTGCATGCGTGTGCATGTGTGTGCATGTGTGTGCATGTGTGTGCATGCGTGTGCACATGTGTGCATGCGTGCAGCAGGCAGTGGGCATGCGCTCACCGGCAGTGGGGTCGATGGGGGCGGGGCCGCAGTAGAACGGCTGAGGGGTGGCGCCGAGGCTGTTGACAGTGCCAGCCGCCAGGGCGGCTGTGGCGTTGAGAACGCAGGGAGCGCCGCCGCAGAGGGGCGGGGTGGCGTTGGTGGTGGCGCAGATGGCGCAGTCAGAGGAGCGCTGGCCCACGCCGTTGGGGTTGGTGCACGTGCCAAGCCCATAGAAGCAGTTGCTGCGGATGTCACAGAACTGGAAGGCTTGCGAGGGGAAGGGGCCGCGAAGAAGTTGTGGTTGACGGCCAGGTACTTGAGCTTGGTGGGCACAGCTGGCAGCGTGCCCGTCAGGTAGTTGGCACTCAGCCGGCTGTGTGGGGGAATGAAAGGGGATGGACGGCACGTGAGTGGATGGAAGGCCTATGGCCTTTGGGATGGATGAAGTGAGGGCGAGTCGGGTGGTGACAGGTGCAACATCCACAGCAACATCCACAGCAACATCCACAGCAACAAACGCCGCACAGGCGCCGAGAGAGAGGAGTGAGAGAGGCGGGATGTGGCAGGGTGACGTGTATCAGTGGTGGCATCCCTGTGCTTTCCAGTGCATCAACAGCAAGGCAGGCTCAGCAAAGAAGCCTGTGCTCTCACCCACGGCAACCCACCACCCCCATCCAGCACCTGACAGCCATCCTAAAGCCACTTAGTGTGAGCAGTGGCTTTGTGAGGAACTGACATTTTGGTGAGGGACGGCATGTTGAGCAGAGTGGAGGGCACGCTGTCGTAGAGGTAGTTGAAGTTGAGGTTGCTGGCGGGCGGGAGAGGCGCACATGGAGAGGAGAGCGCGTGAACACAGAGAGAGGGCACGGGGGGGCAGCGGCATCAAGGGCCAAGGCAAGAAGGAAGAATGACATGCAGATACAGAGCGAGGGGCCTGCAGAGACAGAGCGAGGGGACTGCAGAGATAGAGCGAGGGGACTGCAGAGACAGAGCGAGGGGACTGCAGAGACAGAGCGAGGGGACTGCAGAGACAGAGCGAGGGGACTGCAGAGACAGAGCGAGGGGACTGCAGAGACAGAGCGAGGGGACTGCAGAGACAGAGCAAGGGATGTGAGAGGAGTGCAGAATGCAGCAGTGAGGCGAGAATGTGAGAGGAGGGTGGGAGGGCGAGGAGAGGGGCGAAAGGGGACGCACAGAGTGACAATGGCGGTGAGCGGCGTGATGTTGGAGACGAAGGTGGCGAGACGACCGTACAGCAGATTGTACCCCACATGCCTTCACGTGCACGAGGGGGTTGGGCGACCATGGGAGGGGCAGGCTCAAATGGGTGAGCATGGGAGGGGCAGGCTCGAATGGGTGAGCATGGTGGCAGAATGGGAGAGAGATGATGACAGTCCGGGGATGAGGATGCTTGCACATGAAGTGGGAGGTACAGGTAGGTGATGCACGTACAGGTAGGTGATGCACATACAGGTCGGTTATGCACATACAGGTAGGTGATGCACATACAGGTAGGTGAGGCTGGAGAGTTTGGTCATGTCTGCATGGATGGTTCCCCGCAGGTTCAAGTTGTTCACAACACTGCCATGGCAACACACACAATGGGTGGGGCGAGAGAAGCAAAAGAGCAGTATGAGAGACAACACACTGGTCATGAGCAACATGAGAGCCAGATTCAGCGAGCCAGATTCAGCGAGCCATAAGGACGACTCTTTCTCCCAATCCCCTTCAGCCTTTCGCCACCTGACATTGTTCTTTCAGGTCGCCTTGTTCCAGTTCGCCTTGTTTCAGGTCGCCTTGTCCTTTCTAGCCTGACTCTGGATGATTGAATAAGCACTTGACAGGGTGAGGAAAGAGTGGGAGGGAGGGGAGGGGAGGGGGAGGGGGAGAAAAGGGGGAGAGGAGGCTCACAGGGAGACGACGGCGCCGCTGCCGCTGCACAAGACGCCCGGCCAGGACTTGGGGGCGATGGCCTGCCCGATGATTTTGCAGCCGCTGCTGGCGCTCCAGTCCGTGTGCGTCACTCCCAGCGCCGCCCCTATGTTCAGCAACGCCGCCGCTGCAAACAGGTCGAAGGCAGGGGGGGAGAGAAAGAGGGGATACGTTCATGCACACCACACTTGAGCAGCAGTGAAGGCAGCAGGCAGCACGGCACACATTGCAGTGCATGAGGTACAAGAGTGGCATGAGTGGCGGTGTGCTGCGGTGTGGTGCAGTGCGCATGGCATGCGGAGGGAGGCACTCACAGGAGGTGGCATCAAGAGGAAGAGCCGGGCACTTGAGGGCGAGGGTGGGCGCGGTGCCGCTGTTGGGCACTTCGGACGCCACGTATGCCGAGGGGTCTGGCGTGCACATGGCCCTGCCACACATCGGCAGCTGCCCGTTGCTCGACCCGCACATGTTGCAGCCCGCGCCCCTCTGGTCCACCTCGTCAATGCTGAAGCAGGCAGTGGCGTCGAGGAAGCAGTTGCCGCGCGCGGAGCAGTAGGCAAGCGAGGCGGTGGGGAAGGTGCCCGAGAGGAAGTTGCGCTCCGTGTCGAGCGCCTTGAGTGCCGCCAGCGGCTTGGGCAGCGTGCCTGTGAGGTAGTTGTAGCCCAGCATGCTGTGTGATGCATCCACAGGCACAGCGGCGCCGAGACGCATAGACCAACACAGAGACGTACAAAGGCACACAGAGGCACACAGAGGCACACAGAACAGAACCGCCCCCGCTTTAAAAGAGCACGAACGCAAAGAGCTTCGAACCAACGTAAACGGAAGATTGAGTGAAAGGGGCGGAGCAGGAGGGTAGGAGGGGTCAGGGAAAGAGAGGAGAGGGTGGGGCGAGGGCATTACAGGAAGGAGAGGGCCGGCATGTTGAGGAGAGAGGTGGGGATGGTGCCGTAGAACCAGTTGAAATTGACGTGGCTGGTGGGGGGTGGGGTGGGGAGCAAACACACGCCCATGCATATGTTGAAATGAATGAACAGGAATATTGAACTAACAGTGAAATCAGTACAAGTACCTAACCCTAGAATTGTGTACCCCCTATAGGCTAACCCACTGTAGCCTAAACAAGCACAACATATATAAGGTTTGACACACCCCCATAGGCGAAGTGGGGGAGAACTAGGGGTCACAAGACCAGTCAAGTAAAGCAAGCAAAGCAAGCTCAGGGTGGATCACAAAGTCACCACACATTCCGAGCACAAGTTCAAGGCCACAAGGCCAGTTCACATGCATGAGTACATATATATATATATATAAGGCTAGACAAGCAAGAGCAGGTATATATATATGTAACAGTACAAGCAAGGTCAAGAGGTGAGCAAGTGAGGCAAGACAGGTACAAGACCCAGCTGGGTGCAGAAGCGCTGATGATCACAAGGCGCAAGTGCCTTGGTGAAGACATCAGCAGTGTTGGCCTCAGAGGCCACGTACGCAAGCCGCAACTGACCACGCTGCTGTAGCTAGCGAGCAAGGAAGTAGCGGAGAGCAATGTGCTTTGTTCTGTGCTCCAGTCTCTGCTCTTGACACAAGGCCAGCATGGCCTTGTTGTCTACGTACAGGACTGGAGGAGAACTAGGCGGCTCTCCAAGGTCGGTCAGCAGGTAGGTGAGCCAGCGAAGCTCCTGAGCAGCCATGGCCCCTGCCTAGATCTCAGCCACACAACTAGAGCCGAGAACAGAAGACGAGCGAGTAGCCCGCCACGAAACAGAGCCGGAACCAAGGCTGAAGGTGTAACCCTCTGACGAACGCTGCGTAGCCTGATCGTCAGCCCAAGAAGCGTCTGCGTGACCAGTGAGGACCACTGGACTCCGCCCTCCAAGCACTAGCCCCATGCCCGACGTACTGCACAAGTAGCGCAACACCCTCTTCGCTGCAGCCATGTGCTCTGGTCGGTGTCTCCCAGGAGCAACATAGCGTGCGAGAATGCTAAGAGGGTATGCAAGGTCAGGTCGTGTGCAGGTCATCAGGTACATGAGGCAGTCAACAAGCTCTGGGTACGGGCCACTCTACTCTACGGACTCATCCGAAGGCAGAGCTGAGAGCGAGTGGCGAGTAGGCAGAGGAGTGGCCTGAGGCGAGGAGTACGTGAAGCCGAAGCGCTGAAGGACCTGCTGCACCATGTGTGACTGAGTCAGGGTGATGGTGCGGCGTGCTCTGTCCCGGGTGATCTGCAAGCCAAGGTAGCTGCGCAGTTCACCCAGGTCTGTGCACGTGTGTCTCTTCTGCAGCTCGGACTTCACGTAGGCGAGTCCAGCAGTGTCAGCAGTGGCAAAGACCAAGTCGTCGACGTACACGAGGATGTAGAACGGCGGTAGAGAAGTGTCGGGCGTAGAAACAGCGACAGGTCGGCAGTGGAGGGAGCAAACCCAAGAGCCGCAAGCGTAGTCCTCAGTGTGTCGTGCCACTCACGCGGTGCCTGGCGGAGACCGTAGACTGGCCGCCGGAGGCTCCACTGGGTGCCAAGAGGAAAAGTCCCAGTGAAGCCAAGTGGGCGGCGCAGCGAGATCTCCTCGTGTAGGCTGCCCTGCAGGAAAGCAGTGCTGAAGTCAAGAGAGTGTAGCTCGTAGTCACGGTGAGCAGCTACGTGCAGTAGTACCTGAAGAGTGGTCATCTTCGGGGTGGGAGAGAAGGTCTGAAAGTAGTCAACTCCCTGCCGCTGACTGAAGCCACGAGCCACGTAACGCGCCTTGAAGACAGGCGGAGAACCCGGCGGCCGCTTCACCCTGAAAATCCACATGCCACTGACGATGTTCGCCCCACGAGGGGGGACAGCGTCAACGTAGGTGCCTGTGGACTTCCAGGAAGCCATCTCTGCATCCATAGCTGCCTGCCACTGAGAAGAGTAGGGACCCTCTATCGCCTCCGCGTAAGAGCACGGAGTCGGGATGTCAAGTGCATCCGGGTCTCCCTCAGGGGTAAGCAGTACGGACACGAGATGAGGTGAAGCAGCGGCCAAGCACTAGAACTCCTCCTGCCTGTCCTCAAGGACGTCCGTGCCAAGGGCACACTCACCCCCGACGGACGGAGGACAGACAGACTCAGACTCAGCGACAAGACTAGCAGCGTAGTCTAGACGACAACGAGCAGCAAAGTCGACGAGCTCAGCAACTAGGGCAGACGCAGCAGTGGACTCAAAAGAAGGGTCAGTGACGACAATAGCAAGGGGACGCGTGACAGTAGGACTGGCAGCACGAAGAGAGTCCGACTCCGGGTCGGCAAGAGCAGGAAGAGAGGACTCAGGAGGAGAAGGCAAAGGGGCACGCAGAGGAGCAGTGGACGGACGCAGAGACATCCGGTGCATGCCAGGGACAGGAGGAGGACGCTGACGCGAACCGCAACCACTAGTGCGAGCAGTACGGACAGGCGACGCAGGGCGAGACGCAGGCTCACGACGCTCAGCAAGACCTCCAGTAGGACCAGTGTAGGGAGAAGGAGCAGGCAGTGGGGAGGCGGGTTGTAACTGTAACTGTGACTGGACAGGCTGTGGACACTCTAAGGGAGGAGGAGGACCGAGAGAAGGCGGGAGACCAAGAACCTGCTGAAGGAGCGGAACGAAGTACGGCCGCTGCCTTGCAGCGACTCCAGAACCAGCAGAGACACCAGCGCCAGGGTCCTCCGCACCAGCAGCAGCTCCAACGCCCGACTCCACAGCACCAGCAGCAGCACCAGCTCCAGGGTCCTCAGCACCAGCAGCAGCTCCAACGCCTGGGTCCTCAGTACCAGCAGCAGCTCCAACGCCCGGGTCCTCAGCACCAGCAGCAGCACCAGCGCCCGGGTCCGCAGCACCAGCCGTAGCTCCAACGCCCGGGTCCGCAGCACCAGAAACAGCTCCAACCTCTGGGGCCGCAGCACCAGCAGAACAAGTAGAGTCTCCAGCACCAGTAGCACCACCAGCAGCAGCGGGGTCCGCGACACCAGGCGCGCCACTCCGAAGAGTGCAGCGCCGCTTGTACCACTCACGGATCCGCTCACGGGAGGGGAGCTCCTGGCTAGGAGGAGAAGCACTAGCACTAGTCCCAGTAGTACGCCTGGCTCCAGAGGTACCTCTCCTGAGGCTGCAGTACTGGAAGTACCAATCACGTAGCTGCTCCGAGGAGAGGGCTCCGCCAGGTGTAGGACCCTCAGGCTCAGGACCTCCAGACTCAGAACCCCCAGACTCCGGACTCTGCGGCTCAGCACTCCCAGGCTCAGTACTCCCAGGCTCAGCACACCCAGGCTCCACAGCCCAAGGCTCAGTACCCCCAGGCTCCGCACCCCCAGGCTCCGCACCCCCAGGCTCCGCACCCCCAGGCTCCGCACCCCTAGGCTCCGCACCCCTAGGCTCCGCACCCCAAGGCTTAGCACCCCCAGGCTCCGCACCCCAAGGCTCAGCACCCCCAGGCTCCGCACCCACAGCAGGACGAGAGTCGACAGCTACCTCAACAGGCTCAACCGGGTCTACCTGAGACACACCTGAGGGAGCGGCACCCTGAGGGGGGAGGGGGTCTACGACAGCAGCATCTGGCGCGAGGAAGAGAGGCGGGGGGGGGAGCGGGGCAGTGCGGTAGGGGAAGAGGCGGTAGTAGGGGACGGACTCGTCAAAAGTGACGTCCTGAGAGGGCAAGACTCGGCGTGAGGTGGCGTGGTAAAACTGCCAACCAGGCGCGTCCGGGACAAAGCCGAGGAAGACGCAGGGAACAGCACGGGAGGAGAGCTTGTCCGCCGACGTATCGCGGACAAAAGCTCGAGATCCCCGGACCCGGAAACGCGACGCATTGCCAACCTCCCCCGTCCACAGCAGTGTGGGCGAGGTCTCCGGCAAGGAGACATGGGGCCAGAGGTTGAGCTGATGCGCAGCGTACCGGACCGCAAACGGCCACAGAAAGTGGGGGGCAGCCGCATGGATCAAGGAGGTACGGGCGACCTCCATGACCAGGCCAATGCGGCGCTCCGCAACCCCATTCTGCTGTGGTGAGGCCGGAAGCGTGAACGACTGCTCAATGCCGTGTTCAGCACAGTAGGCTGCCAAGAGGTCGGAGGAGAACTCACCACCTCTGTCAGAGTGCAAGCGCAGGACAGGAAAGTCCGAGTGGAAACGCTCGCTGAGCTGGAGACGGGCTCTGCGGATCCAAGGGATCAAGACATCAGGGACCTCACCCTTGGTGCGCAAGGGGAAGACCGTGGTGTAGCGCGAGTAGTCGTCAACAACTATCAGGAAGTACCTCTCCTGACCCTGACCACGGACGCGGGCTGGGCCCCACACGTCCATGTGGAGCGTCTGCAAGGGAGCAGTCGTCGGGGGAAACGAGGAGGAGTGAGGAGCGGCGCGCTGCCGCCCCTCGACGCAGGGAAGACAGGGAGGAGCAGGCGAGGGTGGGAGGGGAGGGAGGACTCTGGGAAGACCGGAGACAAGGTACCGGGAGTGCATGGCACGAAGGCGCTGCACAGACGGGTGGCCAAGTCGGTGGTGCCAGAGGACAGTCTCGTGCGCCAGAGAGCGACACGAGCAGGGGGCAGACAGCTGACCTGACGCGGACGCAGACGCAGACGCAGCGACCTGAGGGGACTAAGTGGTCAGTGTGTACAGGTCCGACCCCGGCTGCCGAGTGAAGGTAGCCAAGTGGCGGCCCTTACGAGCACACGTGCAGTGTGACACGCGCTCGTAGGCAGGGGTGAACTAGTGAACACCCCCGTCCTGGAGTGCACTACTTGCCACCAAGTTCGTAGAGAACGAGGGGAGGTGGAGACCTGACAGTGTGCCCGACGGGACCGCAGGACAGGGAAGGACAGTGGAGGAGGTTGCAATGACCGGACCCCCAGAGGGGTCAGCGAGGGAGACAGCAACTGGCCGAGCAAGCGGCTCAAGGGCAGTGCGGTCACGAAAGAAGCAGCGAGAAGCACCTGAGTCCAGTGTGAAGGTGTGCAATGCTGCCGTCGACTCAGTACCAGGGGGGGCAGACGCACAAGCACCTAGAGCAGCTGCCTCACCAGCACCTGGGGTAGCAGACACGCAAGTACCTAGAGCGGCAGACGCACTAGTCCTAATGCCCGGGTCGGGCGGCACACACAGGTACTCAGCACCCTCTCCACTAGTAGACATCACATACATAGCAGTGAGAACAGCATCAAAGTCTAGAGCATAGATATCAATCCCCTTCTTCAGGAGATCAACCCAGCGGGGCAGCTCAGTGGCCTGAGGGAACTGAACACGCCAAGCGTCGTTGAGACGAGCGAAGTAGTGCTGTGTGGCGTGCGGTCCCCCACATGGCTGGGCACTGTGAGCGGGCAGTGCTGTCAGCAGTAGCAGCAGGAGCAGGAGCATGGCCTAGGGCGTGATCGTACAGTGAGATGTCCTCCTTGGCAGTGAGCTGTAGGAAGAGGTGTAGGTCATCTAGCTAGGTTTCGAACTTCACTGGGCGGCCCTCAGCATCGAAAGCTAGTACAGGAGGGCTAGCCATAGCAGTAGTAGGAGTAATAGCAGTAGGGGCACCCCAAAAACAGTAGGCAGTGCGACTCAGGTAGGGTGGCTCGGTCCAGTACGGGCGGCGCGGCTCGGTTCAGGTAGGGCGGCGCGGCTCGGGAAGGGCGGCGCGGCTAGGTTCGGGCGGCGCGGCTCGGTTTGGGCTGGGCGGCTCGGTTCGGGCGGCTCGGTTCGGGCGGCTTGGTTCGGGCTGGGTGGCTCGGTTCGGGCTGCTCGGGTCGGGCGGCTCGTTCTGGGGGGGGGGGGGGGCGTTCGGGGCCTCTAGGGGCGAGCGCGGGGCCGTAAGGGGCCGCTAAGGGCAAGCGCGGGGCCGATCGGGGCCTCTAGGGGCAAGCGCGGGGCCGTAAGGGGCCGCTAAGGGCGAGCGCGGGGCCGTTCGGGGCCTCTAGGGGCGAGCGCGGGGCCGTAAGGGGCCGCTAAGGGCGAGCGAGGGGCCGTTCGGGGCCTCTAGGGGCGAGCGCGGGGCCGACGGGGGCCTCTAGGGAGGTGAGCGCGGGGCCGACGGGGCCGTTAGGAGCGATCGCGGGGCCGTCGGGGCCTTAAGGGGCGGCGCGCGAGTCGCTAAGGGGCGGTTCGCGGGCCGCAGGGCCTTAGAGGGCCGTGAAAACCGAGGCGCCCTAGGGCGCAGGTAGGTAGGTAGTGGTGGGCCCTAAAAAATCGGTCCTAGGAAGGACCTGCTCTATACCATGTTGAAATGAATGAACAGGAATGATTGAACTAACAGTGAAATCAGTACAAGTACCTAACCCTAGAATTGTGTACCCCCTATAGGCTAACCCACTGTAGCCTAAACAAGCACAACATATATAATGTTTGACAGCATACAGATGAACATTCGCATGTAGCATATGCACGGGCACACGCATGTACGCGCAGACTTAAGGAGTAAAGCTTGAAGGGAGAATCCAGTGTGCTGGGCTGAGGTGGATAGGAGAGAGCAAAGACGACATAGAGGAGGAGAGCAGAAGCGAGGGATGAGGTACTAAAAGTGAGAACGGGGAGACAGAGGGGCAGAGGCGTGGCGGCACTGACAGCTCCTTGAGGGTGGCGGCGGGCGTGATGGGCACGAGGTAGGAGTCAAGGCGGCTGAAGAAGAGGTTGGACGACAGCCGCCTGCATGCACGGCAGGGGGGAGGTGGAATGATGTGATCAGAGAATAGGCACGGAGGAGGGGGGGTAGGTGATGAGGATGGCACACAAGCAAACCCAAGGGGAAAGACCGAGAGAGCGGGCAAGGGTTGCCATGTTGTGTCAGCAAGCGAGTGTTGCTGCTGGGGCCACAGGAATTACACAGTCACCCTGGAAGGGGTGCAGGTTCCATTGTGTGGGGCATGGTGTGCTTACTTACCCACCGAACAAACATGGTATTTCTAACAACTTAGGCAGCGGCCTGGTGATTCTAACACGGTATCAGAGCAAGAAGCAGTACAGTCCATGGCATGGCATGTGGGCGCCAGACATCACAGAAGGTCAGCTCAAAGTGAATAAACGAGTGGCTTACATCGAGGTGAGTGAACGACTGACTTACAGCGAGGTGAGTGAACGTTACAGCGAGGTGAGTGAACGACTGACTTACAGCAAGGTGAGTGAACGTTACAGCGAGGTGAGTGAACGAGTGACTTACAGCGAGGTGAGTGAACGACTAACTTACAGCGAGGTGAGTGAACGTTACAGCGAGGTGAGTGAACGATTGACTTACAGCGAGGTGAGTGAACGTTACAGCGAGGTGAGTGAACGACTGACTTACAGCGAGCGAGGTGAGTGAACGTTACAGCGAGGTGAGTGAACGACTGACTTACAGCGAGGTGAGTGAACGTTACAGCGAGGTGAGTGAACGAATCTCTTACAGCGAGGTGAGGGTGGAGAGCTTGCTGATGTCGGAGTGCACTGTGCCACTCAACAGCTGGCTCCTCAGGTCTCTGCTCAACGAATTCCACGCAGCAGGGGGGGCACATGCAACAGCGGAAGGGGCACACAGGGACAGGGGAGAGAGGTGAGTGAGAGAAAGGCAAACGCGGTGCACAGCCAATGTGTGGTGGCAGAGGGAGGGGCAGCCGCAGGAGGGGCAGCAGCAGGAGGGGCGGCACTCACAGGGCCACGACTTGGCCGAGTGGAGAGCAGCGTACGCCAGTTCAGGAGCCGGCAATGGGTGTCTGGCCCTGGATGGTGCATGAACCCACCGCCTTCCAGTCGTACAGCAGCCCCGACCCCCTCCCTTGCAGGAGGACCCGCCGCTTCGACCCCTTCTTGGGCTTCGTCGATGTGGCCTTGGGGGCGGCGAGCGTGGCGGCGGTCCAGTCAGAGAAGGTGGCGCCCAGAGTGGTCTTGAGTGCTAACAGAATGTTGCCCTGCGTGGCGTCCAGTGGCACGCCCACGCAGAACCGCGGCAGCACCGCCGCCGTCGCGCTGTTGGGAGTGCTGCTGGCGAGCGGCACAGCTGTGTCGGGCGCACACGTGCCGCCGCCGCACACGGTACCCGAGCCGTCGGCGGTGTCGCAGACAGCACAGGCAGCGGCGGCGCGCTGCACGGTGCCGAGCGTGGTGCAGGCGCTGATGCTGGCGAGGCAGTTGGCGGTGGCGGAGCAGGAGGAAAAGCCGGTACCGGGGAAGGTGCCCGACAGCCAATTGCCGTCCAGCGTGAGCGTCTTGAGAGCCGTGCCTGGAGCCGGCATGGACCCGTACAGGTAGTTGTAGCTCGCCCCACTGCGGTGGGGAGCGGGGGAGGGCAGGTAAGGGAGGAGTTATTGAGGCACCACTACGGGAGGAGGGTGGGAGAGGGAGGGGTTACTGAGGAAGCATGTGATGGAGATTGTTGAGAGTGCTTTGAGCAGGTGAGAGTGCTTTGAGCAGGTGAGAGTGCTCTGAGCGGCTGGATGTGAGAGTGAGGTGGGGCTAGGCTATCAATGAGGAGGAACTCACAAGGTGGAGAGGGTGGCGATGGTGACGAGGGTTGACGGGATGGGCCCTGTGAACCAGTTGAAGTCCAGGTAGCTGCAGAGGCACAGGGAGGAGAGGCCGGGTGGATGCAGGGAGGAGAGGAGAGGGTAAGGTGAGGAGGGAGTGGTAGGGGGGAAAGTGGGGGGAAGTATGACGTTCAGGAGGTGATGAGACGCAACACACAGGAACGACAGAAAGAGGATGGGCCGGCAGCAGAATTGCTGGAGGCAAGGCTATGCATTGCGGTGCAGTGCGGTGTTACCATCCCATGAAGGCAGGACTCACGCTTCCTTGAGCGCCGTGAGCGCCTTGAAGTTGGCGGCAAAGACGTCCAGACGGCCCTCCAGGAAGTTGGAGCGCAGATTGCTGCCACCGCCACACAAGCACGGCACACACAAGCACAGCGCACACAAGCACGACACACACAAGCACAGCGCACACAAGCACGGCACACACAAGCACAGATGTGAGAGATGAGCGGTGTGGGATGAATCAAACACAGCAGCAGATGCACATGGATTGATAAGTGGTTCACATGGACATGCGGCCGCTGCTTACATGTAGGTGAGGGAAGTGAGCTTGGAGATGTCCGCATGCATGGTCCCTTGGAGCCTCTGCTGCCCCAGGTTGCTGCGCATTGCCAACGTCAACGCCCACACACACGCACAGCACAACACACATAAGGATACGCGTTACAGACTAAATCTCGTGGGCAAGCATTTCATCAGCAGCTCACAGATCTTAAAAAGGGGCGTGCCAAGGGGAGTGCCGCGCATTGCAATCGGCAATCACACGGACACGAATTTGACCCCAGACACACTCTCAGTGCAATGACCCTGCTTCAAGTGCCACTCACATGGACATGAATTTGCCACTCACATGGACATGACTTTGCCGGAGACGTTGCAGACGACGTTGGACCAGGCGTCTGGCAGCGGCGGCAGCCCCTGGATGGTGCACGGCGAGTCCAGCGCCCAGTCCGTGAACGTCACCCCCAGCGATGCCTTAACATTCAGCAGCGCCGCCGCTGCGAGTAGCAAGGAGGGGAGCAAGGGAGAGGGGTTGGTGGGGAGGGAGAGAGCAGGGGACAGACACAGCAGGGGTGGGTGAGCATGCAGGAGCAGCATGGCTGCACGGATGCAGCAATGGTGAATCAACCCAAACGACATAAAGTCGGGCGGAGTCCACACGGCCCACCCACCCCCCATTGCTCTCACCCATAATGGAATCCATGGAGGCGCCCAGGCAGTAGAGCGACGCCGAGCCCGTGTTCATGGTGCCGGCTGCCACAGCCACCGTGGTGTTGGGAGTGCAGATGCCGCCGCCGCACATCCTGCCCCTCGCATCGCGCGTCTCACAGATGGCACAGGCGGCTGCAGCGCGCTGAGCAGAGCCGGCGGGGCACTTGGAGGCGTCCTGCAGGCAGTTGCTGGCGCAGGCGACGGAGGTGGCAGTGGTGGTGGGGAAGGTGCCCACCAGATAGTTGCTCGACAGGTCGATCACCTTGAGGCTTGCTGGCAGCGCTGCCGGCATGCTCCCCGTCAGGTAGTTCAGGTTCAGCCGCCTGCATTGCCATGGCCCAACGGTGGCCAGCGGTGGACAGCGTTGCAAGGGGATTGGAACGTGTGGGAGGCGCGGACAAGAGGGGCGGAGTGAAAAAGGGAAATGAGGAGTAAAGTGAGCTGTTGTGGTGAGGCATGGATGGATAAGGATGGGGCACTGAATGGTGTTTCAGGTTTTGAAGGCGCTTACAGCTCCGTGAGGGCAGTGAGGGCGGAGATGCTGGCTGGGAAGGAGCCCGAGAAGTAGTTCTGGTGGAGGCAGCTGCACGCATGGGCGTAGCAGAGAGGGGGTGAAGGGTGTGCAGGCAGTGAGAGATGCAGAGAGTCCAGGAAGAAAGGCAGCAGGAGTGGTGAAACATCAAACATGAGATTCTCACAGGGGTGCGAGGGTGGGTGGCCTACAGGTAGTTGAGAGTCTTGATGGGAATGAAGGGCCCGAGGAAGGAGTCAAGGCGGTTTGTGAAGAGGTTGACCGACAGGTCCCTGCCACGTGGCACAGCAGAGCGCACACACACAGAGCACACGTGCAGCACACACACACACGCATACAGATGTCAGTAACTTGGTATTGGTTCACATGCACACACACACGCTCTCTGGTGTCAAATGCGTGGTCAACAGGCGAGAGGAGCGCAAGGGAGTGTGATGCGAATTGCAGTGACGTGTGATGGGATGAGAGTATTGTGGCATGTGGCGTGCAACTTACAGCTTGGTGAGTGCGGAGAGCTTACAGCTTGGTGAGTGCGGAGAGCTTACAGCTTGGTGAGTGCGGAGAGCTTACAGCTTGGTGAGTGCGGAGAGCTTACAGCTTGGTGAGTGCGGAGAGCTTACAGCTTGGTGAGTGCGGAGAGCTTACAGCTTGGTGAGTGCGGAGAGCTTACAGCTTGGTGAGTGCGGAGAGCTTTGAGGAGTCGGTGGGGAAGAAGCCGTTTGCTTTGACCCCCGAGAGAACACTGTGAGGCAACACGTGACACAGAGTTGTGATGACGAGAATGCAAGGTGGTTGGCCCCATGTGTGATGACAAGTGAATTAACCTCGTGAGCACATCATGTGCACAGCCGGCTGACAGACAGCCCACACGCATGAGGCTTGCATGGGGCATGCACCCCATCAAAGGTGTGACGGTGTGGGCACAGACAGCAGGGTGGAAGGCTGATGCGGGCAGGGCGAGCAGGGGGCGAGCAGGGGCGAGCAAGGGGCGCGCAGGGCGCGAGAAGGGCGCGAGCAGGGGGCAAGGGGGCGAGCAGGGTGCGAGAAGGGCGCGAGCAGGGGGCGAGCAGGGCGGTGAGCAAAGGGGGCGTACATGTCGAGCACCATGCCGGCGGGGTTGCCGAAGGCCAACGGCAGCATGCCGGGGACGTAGGCCTGCCCCGCTAGCGTGCACATCGGCTGCGTCCACAGCCCCGGTACCATCGCCTGCAGCGCCGCCGCTGCCATGCAGCATGGGGAGAAGGGGGGAAAGGGGGGAAGGGAGGGGAGGTGCAGAGAGTGCAGGAAGAGAGAACGCTTTGAACTCTTCATTCTTGCATTGCAGGGGGTAAGGGAGAGAAGAGAAGGGAGAGAACAGAAGGCGTAACACGCCCCAGAAAAACGCCAGTGCGGAGAGCGGGTGCGAAAGGTGCATATCCCTCAAGCCCTCAAGCCGGGGTCAGACCTGTGGGTGGGAGGGTTACCTTGGGAGGCATGGACGGGCACGGGGTCGCAGCGCATGGTGGGCATGGGGTCCCATCGGTTGGTGGCCGTGATGGGCGACGGTGTCACTGGCATGCACGGGTTGCCCATGCACGCCGTGCCCAGCCCATTGGTGGTGCCGCAGTAATTGCAGTTGCCAACGGGGGAGTTGGGGTACAGCGAGTTGCACATGGTGTAGGAGAAGATGCAGTTGCCGTAGGCTGTGCAGTACGTGGCGCTGTTGGCGGGGAACGTTCCCGCCATGAAGTTTCGGTCCACCAGCAGGCGCTTCAGTGCGGTGGAGATGGGTGCCGGGAACGTGCCCGTGAGCGCGTTCATGTTCAGCTCTCTGTAGGCAGGCCAGGGGGAGAGCAGGGCGGCGGGCGGATGCGGGTTCAAAGTTGAAGATTTTGGGCAAGAGACAGCGGTGTGGGGCAAGAGGGGAGGGCAAGGGTGCAGGGGCATGGGCGCATGGGGCACAAGAGGTGGCGGTGTTGACGGGGCGAGCACGGCAGAGGAGAGGTAGGCGAAGAATGGGAGCAGGGGGGAGGCGTGATGGAAAGCGGATGGAGAACGGTACGAGGCTAGAGGGGGATGAGGAGGCTGGGAAGGAGTGGGCAAGGTGGTGGGATCGGGTCAGGCAAGGTTGGGCAGGGTGGGGTAGGGTCGGGCAGGGCTTAGAGGTTGGTGAGCTTGGAGAAAGAGACGAGCGAGAGAGGTACAGAGCCGTAGAAATAGTTGTTGTTGAGGCGGCTGCAGGCAGGGGGGGAAGAGAGGCGGCAGGCAAGGAGGGGTGGTCAGAGAGGAGGACCGGGTTGACCGCATCATGTCCTCTCAAGCAAGGCTATCACAGCGACAGCAGGTTGACACGACACTCACAGCGACAGCAGGTTGACACGGCACTCACAGCGACAGCAGGTTGACACGGCACTCACAGCGACAGCAGGTTGACACGGCACCCACAACGACAGCAGGTTGACACGGCACTCACAGCGACACCAGGTTGACACGGCACACACAGCGACACCAGGTTGACACAGCACTCACAGCGACACAGGGTTGACACGGCACTCACAGTGACACCAGGTTGACACGGCACTCACAGCGACACCAGGTTGACACGGCACTCACAGCGACACCAGGTTGATGGAGAGCTTGAGGGGCGCAGCCCAGGTGTCGAGATTGGACTTGAAGAAATTGTAGCTCACATCCCTGCGCGTGCAGCAGCAGAGGGCGCAGGGAGGGAGGCCAAGGGTGGGAAAGGCATGATGGCGGCAAGGAGTGCGGCCACGAGGACATGGCCCCATGGGCGCTCACTAGAAGGTGGCATGGGCGGCACTCAGCAAAGGGCAGCATGTGGCAGCACTCAGCAACGAGCAGGGTGCGGGCGGCACTCACAGCACGGTGAGCAAGGAGAGCTTGCTGATGTCAGCATGGAAAGAGCCGGTGAGCCTCTGATTGTTCAGATTCCTGGCAGCATGGGGTGGGGACGAGGGAGGAGCATGGCGGGGAGGCAAGTTAGGTGCTGCCAAGGTTGCATGCATCGGTGGAGGCTTGAACAGCAAGAGAGGCAGTGCGTCAGGCAAAGCAGTGGATGCAGAAGGAAAACAAGGTTGCTGCAGGGGGTGAGGGTAGGAGGGGACACTCACAGGTTGACGGGCTGGCCGAGGGAGTTGCAGAGCACGCCGGACCAGGAGCCGGCGACGGGGGTCTGCCCGTCCATGGTGCATTAGCTGCCCGTGGTGAGCCAGTCCGTCGGCGCCACACTGCCACTGCCCGTTCTGCCCGCCGCCTTGGGCTTGAGCAGCGCCGTGGGGGCCACCCAGTCCGTGAAGGTCACTCCAAGCGCCGTCTTTATGTTGGCGAGTGTAGTCACTCGCACATCGCACAAAGTGTTCGAGACAAGAGGACAGAAATGAGTGTGAGAGAGGTCTTGGAGGAGAGCGAGGCAAAGAGAGGGGGGAGGCAATATCACATGGCATGTATGGAAAGGGATGGTGGCTGGTGAGCAGCAAGCCACCAGGCACAAGGGTGGGGTGGAGAAGGGTGGAAGACGTTGTGTGGAAGGATGGGAGGGAGGGCAGGGCAGGGCAGCAGCGCATCACCTGCAGTGGCGTCCATGATGACGCCGGTGCAGTACATGGGCACGGCAGGCGTGGACAGCGTGGGGGTCGTGTTGCTCTCAACTGCAGCCGTGGCATCGGGCACGCACATCCCGCCGCCGCACAGAGTGCTCTGGGCGTTGGTGCTGCCGCAGATGGCACAACCGACTCGGTTCTGAGTGCCGCCAGTGGTGCAGCTGCCCTGGGAGGTGAGGCAGTTGAACAACGCCGAGCACGTCACACCGCTGAGCGTGCCGATGCTGCCCGACAGGTAGTTGCCTCCTATGCGCAGGTTCTTGAGCGCCGTGCCCAGCGCAGGCACGGTCCCTGTGAGGTAGCTGTAACTCACATCGCTGGCAGTGGGGAACAGCAAGGGGCGCGTGGGTGGAGGTGGCGGGCGCGCACACAGGCAAGGGGGTCAAAAGGCTTCCACGTTTGGTACAGGATGGGATGGGATGGTAAAAAGTGGACGTATGAGGCAAGCGGAGGATATGGGCAGTAGAAGGGAGGACATGAGCAGCAGCAGCGATTCGAGAGGTGTGCAGAGATGGAGGTGTGAGAATGGAGTGAGGAGTTACAGGCTGGTGAGGGTGGGCAGAGTGAGCAGCGCGGACGGCAGCGGGCCTGCCAAGTAGTTGAATTTCGCATTGCTGCGGGTGGGCAGGCAGGGGAGAGAGGCAGGGTGGGCCCGGTGTGAGAGTTAGCCCTCAAACTCAACTATGTGTTTTGTACTTTTATATCCTTATTAAGCAAAGTTTGTAGTTTATGTGGGTTGGGTGGTACACCAACGTACCAACCTTATCTAACATGTGATGTGATCACCTCAAAGCTCCGACCCACCAATTAAAGATTATAGCGACCCCCTTGGGATTGCCCCAAAATTCCTTCCCATCCATCCGTTGCCCACTTTGGATGTACTGCCTTGAGTTCATTACTTCATGAATCAATTCTTACACCCGGGTGCACACAGCAGTGAGGGCATGAAACACAGAAGTGCACTTGAAGTGACGGCACGCAGGCAAATGGAGCGGCCGAGAGCAATGGGACGGAATAATATAATAGGCATCAAGAATGCAGCGTGTCAAACGGAGTAGTGAATGGCAGAGAGGGCAAGCAGAGAGGACTGACAAGATCTTGAGCGCTGAGAGCCCCTTGAAGGCTGACGTGAAGAACGCCAGGCGGCCCTGCAGCATGTTGCTTCACACGTCGCTGCAGGTCCGCCAGGGGGGAGGGAGACGTAGAGGGGAGATTGAGATTAGATAGCGGAGCATGCATGCTGCCCTTCAACAGCTGATTCGTGAGGTCGCTGCAGAGAAGCACAGGCACGAGCGCAGCGATGGGAGGGGGACGCAAACGAGAGTCATTAGCAGGCATCATGCAACGGAGCAATACATGCACCTTGATGCAGTGGCTGCGCCCAACAGGAATCACGTTGAAGCTACGCACAGAGAGTCCAAACGTCACTGTGCCGACTCACATGCTCACGACCTTGCCCGCCGTGTCACAGACCACGTTAGTCCACGCCCCTGGCACAGAGGGCTGGCCTGCAATGGTGCACGGCGACGCAGCAGCCCAGTCAGTGAGAGTCACCCCCAGCGACGCCTTGAGGTTGAGCATGGCGCCGCGCATGTTGACCTCGATGGGGCCGCCCACGCAGGACATAGTCAGCAGCGCCTGCCCCTCAATGTTGGGCGTGCCGGCAGCGGCGGGCGCGGCAGCGTTGGGGATGCAGAAGCCGCCGCCGCACAGCGGGCCTGCAGCCCCCGTGGAGCCGCACACGTTGCAGTCTGCAGTGGCTCTTTGCGCCGTGCCGAGCGTGTTGGCGCACTTGGAGGCGTCTGTGAAGCAGTTGGAGCGCGCATCGCAGGCTGTGACGCCGGTGGTGGGGAAGGAGGCCGAGAGGAAGTTGCCCGCCATGTTGAGCACCTTCACTGCTGCGCCCATCGCCGGCACCACCCCCGTCAGGTAGTTGCGGTTCAGCTTGTTGTGAGCAGCAGTGGGCGGAATGGAGGGAGGGGAGTGGAAACGGCAGAGTTGAAACAATGGTGGGTGGGGAGTGACGGGTGGTGGCCGAGGCAAGGCCTAGGGATATAATTAATGGGACAGACGGCAAGGGTGGTGAGGGGCTCCCACAGGGGTGCAAGGACAGCAAGGGTGGTGAGGGAGGGGCACTCACACACTGGAGAGGGCTGGCAGGGCGAGCTGGGCGGAAGGGATGGAGCTGGAGAACCAGTTGTACTGCAGCGACCTGCCAGTGGGCAGGGCGGATGGATGTTCATGCATTGAGGTAAGGGCTGCAATGTGAGGGATGGGGCGGTGAATGCTGGTGCTCCGACACGCCTGGGTGGGTGCAGAGAAAAGAAAGGCGGTGCTGGCAGAGGCAGGTGGTGGTGAGTGCAGCACGTGTCGGTGAGTGCAGTACTGAGTGCAGCACTTACAGGGACTTGAGTGTCTTGAGAGTGCTGAAGAGCGAAACAAACAAATCGAAGCGTTGCTGGAAGAGGTTGGCGCTCAGATCCCTGCATGCGTGCGAGCAGTGTTGTGCAGGCACGTGGATGCCATCGCATGCACACATATATGCACATGCTCACACACGTGCACATGCATACACACATGCCCGTGCCCACACACGTGAAAATGCATACACAATTGCACATGGATATACACATGCACATGCACACACACATGTGCACATACCACAACGCACATGTGCATGTACACACTCGTGCACAAACCACCACACACATGCACAAACCACCACACATGCGCATACCACCACACACATGCACATGCTATCACACGCATGCATTCCAAGACAGAGATAGGACATCTATTAAGCCCTTGAGGCAGCACTATGCATGGAAACTGGCTTTTTGCAAAAACGAGAATTGAGTGCGCTGGGAGAAAGCTGCAATCCAGTGCCCCACTGAAGCGCGGCAGCGGCATGAGTGAAGTGACGGCAGGTTTGGCCGCGTGTGGATGGGCGCGTAAGCGTGCATGGGCGTATGGGCATGGAAAGCGAGTCGCACAGCGCAGTGAGAGCTGTGAGCTTGGCGATGTCCGTCGACAGGCTTCCAGTCAGCTTCTGATTCGGCAGCAACCTGCAGGTTGGTCAAGGAAAGCGGTGGAGTACGTGGAAGGGAAGGCAGGGGCAAAGAGATCATGAGGGAGAGAAGACGAATGAGTGTACGTGTGGGTGGTAGGACGGAAAGAAGCGGGAATGACATGAGACTCACAGCAGGTGGGCACTCACAGGGCGACAATGGCGCCAGCGGAGTTGCAGAAGACGCCGGTCCACGAGCCAGGAGCAGGGGTCTGCCCCTCCACGGTGCAGGCGCCCACCATGGTGGCGAGGGGCACGCTGCTGCTCTTCAACGCCTTGGGCTTCAGTGCCACCGTCGTTGCACTCCACTCCGTGGCCGTCACTCCCAGCACCGTCTTCAGCGCCAGCAGCGTTGTGGCTGCACGTGGGAGGCAAGGAGAGGAGAGGGAGGGCATGAGGACGAACCAGTGAGGGGGGAGGGGTGGGGAAAGGAGGAAGTGGGGGAAGAGAGCACAAGAGGGGGTTGCTTGTGTGCCCGGTACTCACTGGTGTTGGTGTCCAAGGCGACTGGCGTGCAGTAGAGGTTGCAAGGGGGAGACGTGGCAGTGGGAGGCGCGGTGACCCCCGTGGTGTTGACGAGGCACGGCACGCCGCCGCATAGCGTGCCCTGGCCAAAGGCGGTGCCGCAGATGGCACAGTCTGTGGCGGAGCGCTGGGTGATGCCGAGGGAGGCGCAGTTGTTGGCGTCGGTGAGGCAGTTGGTGGTGGCGTCGCAGTAGGTGAGCGCGTTGGTGGGGAAGGCGCCTGACAGGAAGTTGCCCTGCACGTCCAGCGACTTGGCTGATGCCGGCACGGTTGGGAAGGGGCCCGTCAGGTAGTTGTAGCCCACGGAGCTGAGAGGGTGGGGGGGTTGTGGAGGGAAGGGGGAGGACAGAGGGAGGGCAGAGGGGAGAGACACGAGTGGGGAAGGATGGAAGGGGTGAGATAGATGCTGTATGATTGGAGGGTGCGGTAAGGTGAGGCAGAAAGCAGGCAGCAGAAAAAGGGGGGGAAGGGAGGAGGGTGCACTAACAGCTTGGAGAGAGTCGTGAGGGTGATGGGGACCATTTTTTAGGCGCCTCAAAGGAAGAAGGTGAGGCGGAAAGGAGGCAGCAGACAGGAGGGAGAGCACTCACAGCTTGGAGAGAGTGGTGAGGGCGAGGAGGGCGGTGGGGAACTGGCCGGACAGGTAGTTGAACTGCAGCGCACTACAGCACAGTGCATGGGAGAGGGGGAGGGGGGGGGGGGGGGGGGAGGAGGGAAACAGAAGGCGTTGGAAAGTGGAGGGAGAGGAGGCAGTGAGTGAATGATGCAGAGTAAGAGAATGTGCAGCGTAGGACACATCGTGCATGGCCCAACGCGAGGATGGATGGGTGTGTGCATGCATGCATGCATGCATGGGTACAAGGAGCGGTGGCAGGGTGCAGTGACCAACAGCTCCTTGAGCACGAGGGGCGTCTTGATGCTGGCTGTGAAGGAGTCCAGCCGCCCCTGCAGCAGGTTGGACTGCAGGTCACTGCAGGGCACAGCCACGCAGGCAAAACACGAGCATGCAAGGCACAATGGACAGTGGCGCCTTAATTTGGGGACAGGGCAGAAGCGCCCAGGAGCAGCGCGGAGCAGCAGACAGGCAGACAATGACGTTGCAGATGGGTGAGAGTGAGAGGTGGAGATGACCTACTGATAGAAGAATTACTGATAGAAGACCTACTTATAGAAGACCTACTGATAGAAGACCTACTGATAGAAGACCTACTGATAGAAGACCTACTGATAGAAGACTTACTGATAGAAGACTTACTGATAGAAGACCTACTGATAGAAGACCTACTGATAGAAGACTTACTGATAGAAGACCTACTGATAGAAGACTTACTGATAGAAAGACCTACTGATAGAAGACCTACTGATAGAAGACCTACTGATAGAAGACCTACTGATAGAAGACCTACTGATAGAAGACTTACTAATAGAAGACCTACTGATAGAAGACTTATTGATAGAAGACCTACTGATAGAAGACTTACTGATAGAAGACCTACTGATAGAAGACCTACTGATAGAAGACCTACTGATAGAAGACTTACTGATAGAAGACCTACTGATAGAAGACCTACTGATAGAAGACCTACTGATAGAAGACCTTCTGATAGAAGACTTACTGATAGAAGACCTACTGATAGAAGACCTACTGATAGAAGACTTACGGATAGAAGATCTAATGATAGAAGACCTACTGATAGAAGACTTACTGATAGAAGACCTACTGATAGAAGACTTACAGATAGAAGACCTACTGATAGAAGACCTATTGATAGAAGACCTACTGATAGAAGACTTACTGATAGAAGACCTACTGATAGAAGACTTACTGATAGAAGACCTACTGATAGAAGACCTACTGATAGAAGACCTACTGATTGAAGACTTACTGATAGAAGACTTACTGATAGAAGACTTACTGATAGAAGACCTACAGATAGAAGACCTAGTGATGGAAGACTTACTGATAGAAGACCCCTCCGGCCACTAGGGCGAAGGGGAAGGTGTGGCTGTAGTTGTGCTAGGCTAGTAGTTTGCTGCTGTAGCTCTGCAGTGTGTAGGTGTTGCCTTACCTTGCATGTACCTTGGTGTTTTTAACACAATGGACCGTTCGAAAGGTGGAGAGATGAGCGTTAGGACCCACAGGCTTGTGAGCGTGGCGAGTTTGGAGATGTCTGAGTGGATGCTGCCCGCAAGCAACTGCGAGTTAACGACTCTGCAGAGGCGACAAACAAACAAGGACACATAAAGAATAGAGAGAGAACATATAAGTCTTGCCAAAAATATGGCATCCATGTGCTATAGGCATTCAGTTGCACCTGCCAATAGTGCGTGTTCACTCACATGCCCAGCACTTTGCCGGTGCCATCGCAGGTGACTCTGCTCCACGACCCGGCAGCGACGCCGCCTGGAAGGGAGCAGGGCGAGCCGGCCTTCCAGTCAGTGAAAGTGACGCCCAGCGACGCCTTGATGTTGAGCATGGCACCCGCGTGCACGGCATCCATCGCCACAAACGCCGCGCCCACGCAGATCAGCGGCAGAGAGGGAGACGCGGCGCTGTTGGGCGCGCCCAGAGCCACCAGGTCCGTGGCGTTCACAGTGCACACCCCCCCGTTGCACAGGCGGCCCTGCGCGTTGGTGGTGTTGCAGATGGCGCAGGAGGCGGCAGCTCGTGGGAGCTCGGAGGCGCGGTTGGGGTTCTTGCACTTGGTGGCGTCGAGGAAGCAGTTCATGCGCGCAGCGCAGAGGGTGAGGGTGAGCATGGGGAAGGTGCCGGCGAGGAAGTTGAACTGCACGTCCACCACTGAGAGCGGGGGTGTCACCGGGGGCAGTGCACCCGTCAGGTAGTTGTAGCCAATCGTGCTGCGGAGCAGAGCAGCGGGCACGGTCGTGAGGAGAAGGATGTACTAGACGAGTCAGCATGATGTGAGAGTGTGGAAGGACTGGTCTCGATTTAAGCAGAGAAGAAGTCAAAGTTATTTGGCATTTAGACAGTCCAAAGGGGGAGGAAAGGAGCAAAAGAAGAAACTGCATGCGAGGAGAGGAAACAACAGGATTTGGGGCTTACAGCTCAGTGAGGCTGGGGAGAGTGAGCATGTATGCAGGCACCGAGCTGGAGAGCCAGTTGTAGGCGAGATCGCTGTAGCACGGGATGGGATGGGGAATAGATGCAGAGTTGGGGTGGGTTGGGACGCAGAGGTGCAGACACAAGTGGTTGAGAAGATTGATGGAACGCAAATGTTGAAAGACAAAATCGATGCAGAAAAGAAGCACCCCGTCGCTAAGAATGAATGAGTGAGCACATGCACATGCTGTGCAATTCCGCCTGTGATCCACACACAGTTGGGTCTAGCGTTGGCAAGAGCATGCCCTCAGCGCTATGGTAATTCCCACACAACTGATTCCTTTGAGACATCCCATGAGAGCAGATCGAGGGAGACGCACATGGACTTGAGGTTGGTGAGCAGGCGCAGCTGCGTGGCAACTTCGTCCAGGCGACCCTACAAGAGGTTGGAGGTGAGGTCGCTGGGGGGAGGGGCAGCAAGAAGAGGAGAGAGAATGAGGAGAGGGGCGGAGAGGAGAGAGAATGAGGAGAGGGGCAGGGAGGATAGATAATGTGGAGAGCGGAAGAGAGGAGAGAGGGATGAGGGGAGGGGCAGAGAGGGGAGTGAATGAGGAGAGGGGCACAGGATTTCGGGTTTAGGGTTACAGGGTGCATGGAGGAAAATGAAGTGCAGCGGGCATAGAGGGGAGGGCTCACATGGCAGTGAGCGCCGTGAGGGCGGAGACGGAGAGCGGCAGAGTGCCCGTGAGCTTGCTGTTGGCTAGTTGCCTGCAGGGCAAGCAGACATGGTGGGGCACACACAAGGCACGGTGGGACACACACAAGGCACGGATACAGGTGCTGAGTGCAGAAGGAAGTGGCAGTGGAAGGTACAGGAGCGAGGGTTCTTAGAGAGAGTTGGCATGCAGAGGCAGCTGTTAAGACAGGTAGACCCAGCCAATGCATGGAGAGAAGAAGAGCACAGCAGGGGTAGAGCAGGCGGACTGACAGGCTGACAACTTTGCCGGCGGAGTCGCAGAGCACACCGTCCCACGTGCCGGGGACGATGGCGGTGGGCGCCACGGTGCAGTAGGTGGCAGGATCCGACGTGGTGAACGTCACTCCCATCACATTCTTCAGCGCTCCCAGCGCTTGCGCTGCCACGCAGCAATTGAGGGGGGGGAGAGGAGGGGGGGAAGGTGAAGGAGAGCAGGCAAGGGAGAGAGTTATTCATGAGGGGGGCTCGTGGTCATTGGAGAGGCGGCATGACGGGGAACATCATAGAGATGGAGCTTGAACTGATTGATCAAGAAAGAAGGCACTAGGCGTTAAGTACAACCAAGGTTGGGATAAGCAAAGCTAGGGAAAAGATGGGATGGTAATCCAAGCAATCTCCAATGATGAGTTGGCAGAAATCCTAACCAAATCATGTTGGGATAACAAATCTACACCCGACCTACAAATAACCTACACGACACACGATCGAGTACATAAATGTGTTGACAACATATCTCTAACATGCAGAATGGTGGATGGGGAGTGTGGTGCTACAAGTGATGGGGAGCACATGGGGGAATGGCATGACTGCGAAATGCATGCAAGGAATGGCTGGGCACAGCAAGGTGAAGCGCGAGCAGCATGACGGTGTGAGGCACGGCAGCTCTCACCATCAATAGGGCCGATGTTGACCACCGGAGCCCCTGCATCAGGCACCAAGCAGAGGCATTCAAAGGCGAACAGTGACATTCCGGTCAGAGGCATTCAGGGGCATCCATGGGCATTCAGGGGCATCCATGGGCATTCAGGGGCGTCCATAGGCATTCAGGGGCATCCATGGGCATTCAGGGGCATCCATGGGCATTCAGGGGCATCCATGGGCATTCAGGGGCATCCATGGGCATTCAGGGGCATCCATGGGCATTCAAGGGCATCCATGGGCATTCAGGGGCATCCATGGGCATTCAGGGGCATCCATGGGCATTCAAGGGCATCCATGGGCATTCAAGGGCATGGGCACGGGAGGAGAAGGGAGTGAGTGTGCAAACAAGCAAGAGCCGGAGACGGTATGGGGGTTCTCAGCGATGAGAAGGCCATTGTGAAGCGGAGCAAGCTTCCCACTCACAACCGGGAAAGAGGAAGCATCAAGGGGCACGAGGAGACGCACCAGCGCAGTACATGGCCGGCGGGGCCAGCCCGTCAGGGTGGGCGGTGGTGGGGGAGACTTTGGGCATGCACGTGCCGCCCCAGCACAGCTGCCCCTGCGCTGCTGGGCTGTCACAGATGGCACAGGCAGCAGCGGCCCTCTGGGTGGTGCTGGTGGCGCCACACGCGACGGCGTTGAGGAAGCAGTTGAGGCTGGGGTCACACGCGGTGAGAGAGGAAGTTGTGAAGCTGCCTGCTAGGAAGTTGTCGTGCAGGTAGAGCGCGCGCAGCACCGATGACACGGCGGGAAACGACCCTGTCAGCGCGTTTGCATGCACATCTCTGGGGTGGAAAAGGTGGAGAGGGGCAGGAGAAAGGAGGGGGGAGGGGAGAGGAAGGCGCAGCAAGTAAGTGTGGGGGAAACATGCTGCGGTGGCTGGTGCACATTGTAGTTAGGGCTTGAAATGCTGAAAGTGGCAGGTTGAGTCTCTTCATGTCTTGTGGACCCTTACAGCAGACTGAGTGCAGAAAATGACATGAGTGTCTGAGGCAGGGAGCCCACGAACCAGTTGTTGTTGAGGCGCCTGGCAGGAGACGGAGAAAGGGAGAAGGGTTCAAGGCAAGAGAGGTGGAGCTGAATGCAAAGCACAAAGAGTAGCGGTATGCAATGCATGGCTGTGTGGGCAAGATGATTGCCCACGGTGTGTGTGTGTGCTGCAGCCCATGTAACTCGTGAGGGCACAAGCGAGAGCAATGCGAATGAGGAGAGCACCGAGTCGAGCAACATGTTCGAGAGCAGGGTGGATCGAAGCGGCATGGGTGAGGGCAGTGAGGGCGCTATGGGTGAGGGTGGCAGCACTGACAGCTGCAGGAGCGTCTTGAGGCCCGAGAAGGTGACAAACTTGTCAAGGCTTCCGCGCAGGAAGTTATTGGACAGGTCGCTGAGGGGGTGGACGGGAGAGAGGGTGCATGGGGCAGGCGCAGGAGTGGGGAGGAAAGGCAGTGTTGAGGTGGAAGATGCTTGCTCAGTTGCTGCACGCATGTGAGGCGGGCAAGCAGGCAGAAAACATGCGAGGAGGGACATGGAAATGGAACGCAGAGGGCATCGGATAAGGCAGTGAGGTAGGGGAGGGGAAGACAGGTAGAAAGACAACGGCACTGACAGGTAGGTGAGGGCACTGACAGGTAGGTGAGGGCACTGACAGGTAGGTGAGGGCACTGACAGGTAGGTGAGGGCTGTGAGCTTGGTGATGTCGGTGTGAATGGTGCCAGCGACGGCGGAGGACAGGTTGCTGCATGCATGGGGATGGGAATGACAGGGACCACGGACATGGGCAGGAAGGAGAGAGGGGAGGTTGATTGCATCCGAGATTGTCACCGCTAGAGCAGAGTGCAGAAACTACGCAGATCAGCAGAAAATCATCAGCAGTTTGAAGAGGAAAGAGTTGCATGCAGCAGCAAGGGGCGGGCAGCAGGGGTGGGGAGCACTGACACGCTGAGGACGTCGCCAGCGGAGGAGCAGAGCACGCCAGTCCAGGTGCCGGCGACGGCAATGGTGGAGTTGGCAATGGCGCAGGGCGATGCAGCCAGCCAGCTGGTGAACGTCACTCCCAGCGCTGACTTCACGTTCAGCAGCGCAAGCGCTGTGGGCGAGAGGGAGGGAGGGAGAGGAGGGAGCGTTGGGAATTTGGAAATGACACTCAAGAGGGCGATAGAAAGGGGAGATGGGGTAGGTGTGTGAGGGATGCGACACATAGAGGTTGGGAGATAAGAGGCAGTGAAGCATGTGAGCCATGAAGCATGAGGCCGCAATTTTTGCGTGCTGTGTGAACGCACCTGAGCCTGTATCCATCGGTGCGGCCGGATTGTCTGCAACGGGAGTGTCGGAAAAAGACAGAGAGAGGAGAAGGGCGTGAGGTGAGGCATTGCAGGAGGCATGGTGAGGGTCACAGCGATGGTGACAAGCGGCGGAGCGATAAAAAAGGGATGCAAAGGTGTAAACCTGTGATTGACTAAGGGGAAAATTTTGACTGCCAGGCCTTGCAACACATGGCACACACACCGACCTGCACATGCCACACACCGACCTGCGCATGCCATGGGCAGAATAGGCTGGTTAGGCGAGTTGACAGTGCTGGCGGTGACAGCAGCAGAGGCGAGGGGAGCGCAGGAGCCGCCGAAGCAGAGGTCGCCCTGGCCGGCCACGGTGCCGCAGATGGCGCAGGCGCCTGCAGGGCGCTGCACGATGCCGTAGGTGCGGCAGGCGGTGGAGTTGAGGAAGCAGTTGTTGTCGCCCGCACAGAACATGAGCGGCAGCTTCGGGAAGGTGCCCGAGAGGAAGTTAAAGCCTACGTCTAGGGCGACAAGGGCCTTTGAGGGGATGGGTACGGTGCCCGTGAGGTAGTTGGAGAAGAGGCCACTGGGTTTAGGGTTGAAGATGAGAGGGAGATGAGAGGGAGATGAGAGGGAGATGTAGCATAGAGTTGAAGTTTGGAGCATAAGAAAAGAAGCACTTTGTTATGAGTGATGCATGGAAGGTCATGGGCCTGTATGTACTGGGAGGGAAGGGACCCTAAACTGTCTGCTTATCAGAGTGAATCTAGGGGTGGTGGTGCAGGGTTGGCTTACAGTGATGTGAGCTGAGGCAGCGTGGCGATGGCAGATGGAATGGAGCCGGCGAAATAGTTGTAGTGGAAGAAGCTGCGATGGACCAGGGGAGGGGGGGGGAATGAGATTTGAGGGGGGAAGATATGGGGGATACTCAACAAAGAGGAGGGGACGCTCAACAATCGAAGAGAGTAAGCAGATGCTAGATTGAATGATGGCAGGCCGCTAGAGAAACTTTAGGATTCATGGAAGGCTGCTAGACGTGTTAGGCTGGGCCAGCACAGCCCAGCACGCACTGTGGTGTGGAGCTCCATGACGAGTGGCGAGTGGCGAGTGGAGAGTGGAGAGTGGCGAGTGGCGAGTGGAGAGTCATGATAGGAAAGGACTTGACGCATGAAGGGGGTGACAGTCTTACAGCGCCTTGAGGGTGGTGAGGGGCTTAAGTGGAGCAGCAAAGAGATCCAGGCGGCCCTGGAAGAGGTTGTACCCCAGGTCCCTGAAAGGCGAAAAGAAGAGGAGGGGGGGGAGGGGGAAGGTGTTAGAATTGGAGCTGAACTGATTGATTGATCAAGAAGGCACTAGGCCTTAAGTACAAACAAGGTTGGGTTGAGCAAAGCTAGGGAAAGGATGGGATGGGAATCCTAGCAAATCTCCAATTGGTGAGTTGGCAGATTTGCAGGATTACGAGGGAATCCCAACCAGATAGGGTTGGGATTACAAATCTACACCCAACCCGCAAATAACCTAAACCATATAATATAGAGTACACGAAGTGTTGACAGCCTATTTCTAACAGAAGGGAGGGGGGGGGAAGGGAAACGAGATGAGGTCACACGCGTGGGTCGCGTCTCACACACGGAAAGCCCACAGACAAGTGAGGGGACATAGCGTGCACGCACTGCACCCTTCCCTCCATTCGCACTGTCATAATGCTCATGGCATGTGAAGATGAAGTGTGAGTGTGCTGGGCTTACAGGTATGTGAGAGTGGTGAGCTTGGAGATGTCCAGATGAAGGATGCTCTGCAGACTCTGCCGTGTGAGCGCACTGCGTGGCAATGAGAGGGAGGAGCAGGAGAGGCGGTGGATGAGTGAGAGGCACAAAGCATGGGGAACGGCAAGAGCAGCACCAGCACCCACATTGCACGTGCTCCCACTCCACCTCTTGAATAATGCACCCACTCGCTACTGTGACTCAGCAGCCCACCCATCACTTACATGCTCGTCACTTTGCCGGCAGCAGTGCAGCGCACGCCGCCCCACTGCGCGGGCAGCAGCGTCTGCCCCTCCAGCGTGCACAGCGATGCCGCATTCCAGTTGCTCAGCGTCACACTCAGCGTCGACTTGAGCGTCAGCAGCACTAGAGCTAGCAGGGCAGAGGGGGGAGGGAGGTGGGGAAGAGGGAAAACCAGGTTCACGGATTGACAGCAAGCATGGGTTTGAGCAGAGGTAAGAATGGGTCAGAGGCAAGTGGAGTGCGAGCAAGGAGGAAAGGGCCTATGAGGGCGCAGGCGCGTGCACTGACCATCAGCAGGGTCGATGGGGATGCCACTGCACACCATGGGCAGCATGGGCGCGGTTGCTGAGTTGGGCGTGCCCAGCGCAGCAGCGGGGCCAGAGTCGGGCGAGCAGGTGCCGGTGCCGCGACAGAAGGGCGGCACGGCCCCGACGGAGGCGCAGATGGCGCAGTCGGCTGCGGCGCGCTGAGTGGAGCCGCCAGAGGCGCAGGGAGCGGGAGACGCGAGGCAGTTGTTGGAGCCGTCGCACCACTTGAGGGTCATGGGTGCCATGGTGTAGAAGAAATTACTGCGGATGTCCAGAGTCACCAACGTGGCTGACCCTGGGAAGGAGCCGGTGAGGTAGTTAAAGCCCAGGCCACTGCAGGGGGTGTTATGGTAGCACAAACAGATGCAGCGGTGGGTTCTTAAGAGAAGGGAGTTGGGAGTTGCGAGGCCGAGAGATTTGAGATGCGCAATTATGCATGAATGTGGGGCATGGGAGGCCCCAATATCGTATTAACCTAGAGTGGGAGGCGGCAGCGGTGCCTTGCAAGTGAACGTGGGCAAGCGAAGGCAGGAGGGAGTGAGGAAGGTGGTGCGGTACTCACAGCACGCAGAGCGAGGGCAGTCTGAGAAGCGCGGTGGGAACAGAGCCGAAGAACCAGTTGTACTGCAGGTAGCTGTGGGGCAGGTGGGGGTGAAATGGGGAGGGGGGAAGCGAGGGTTAGAGGATGGGGAAGGGTCACATGTAAGAGAAGGAGCGAATTGAATGCAAGCAGGAGCGGCGGACACATGTCGGTGGTAAAGAACGGGTGCAAAACTGGATGAGGCCAGAGAGTGTGTGAGGAGAAGTGCAGAAAGCGACTCACAGCTCCTTGAGGCCGGTAAGCTTGAGGAGGTTGGAGGTGAAGTCAGTGAGGGGCGCCTGGAAGAGCTGCGAGTTGAGGTTCCTGGCATGGCAGCACAAGGGCAGGGCAGCAGGGCAACAGAGGAGCGCAGGTGCACCGTGTAAGGAACACCAAGCTATGGCAGTGCGGCGCAAAGGGGGCCGCGAAGGGCGGACACGCGGGAAGTTTTGGGGGAGGAGTGCTGCGAAGCTTTGGAAACCAGTGAGTGAGAGACGACTTGCTGGTGGGTGAGGGGTGAGGTGCACTTACACGTGGGTGAGGTGCACTTACAGGTGGGTGAGGTGCACTTACAGGTGGGTGAGGTGCACTTACAGATAGGTGAGGGTGGTGAGCTTGGAGATGTCAGCAGGAGGTGCTCCTGCCAGCCCTGTGTTCTTCATCTCACTGCATGCGGAAACGGGTGGGAGAACAAGCAGCAACGGATGTTGAGGGTTTACCGGGGAACCCTTACCATGCAATGGGACATGACAGTTGAAACTCTTGCCATGCGATGGTACGTGAAACCCATGCCATGGGTTGGGACATGCAGCACAGTGAGAGTTGGTCCTGCTCAGCGAGGCACACAGAGAGCTACCACACTGTTGTGCTCATGCTCAACTATTACTCACTTGTCCCCAGTGCCCATTGCGTTCTATACTGGAGAACTGGCTGCCCATGCAGGTCATTCTGCGAGTCACAAGTCAAGATGTCAACACACCTTGCGCTGCATCACACTCACATGCTCACGACATTGCCACTGGAGTCGTAGAGGACGCCAGCCCACGTGGGCACGGGCGCAGTGGTGCCCTTGAGCGTGCATGCCACAGACGCCGCCCACGTGTTGGTCGTTATGCCCAGTGATGACTTGAGCGCCAGCATGGCTGAAGCACGGGCATGACGGCCGTGGGCGGGGAGATGGGGCAACGAGGAGAGGAGAGTGCGGGGGGAGGGGAAGGGGGGAGGGGCAGGGTGTCGTGTCAGGCAGGTGAGAAGGATTGCGGGCGTGGATGGTGTGAGGCAGCCAGACGCGGAACGAGGCAGAAGAGAGTGCAGAAATGGTCAGGGAGACAAGAAAGCAACCAGCCATCTCAGATTGTGAGGCAGCAACAGGCCGCAGGACCACTGCCATGCACTGCACTGCACACTGCCCACCGCCGCCGCCCAGCGCCCACAGCCCACCTGCGCTTTCTTGGATGGCCACCACTGTGCCGCCCACACACGTGGCAAGCCCAGGCGTCGACCCCGCGTTTACATAACTGCCGAAGACATATACAAACGCATCCACCGTGCACACTCCTCCCCCCCCCCAACAGTAGGGGCCCATGGCATTGGTGGAGCTGCAGAAGGCACACTCCGCTGGGGGCCTCTGATCGATGCCGGAGGAGCCGCACTTGGAAGGCGCAATGAGGCAGTTGCCCGTGCCGTTGTAGCTGCTGTAGGTCACTGCTGGCAGGTCCGCAATGAAATTGTATCGAATGTCCAGAGTGCGCAGCCCACTAGCGAGCGCGGGTATTGACCCCATGAGGTAGTTGTTCATGGCTCCACTAGTGGGGGGGAAAGAGGGGAGAGGTGGGCTCAATAGCAGCACAAGTGATGTGCAGATAGGGTTGGGGACAAGCACCATGCGGTATGGTGGAGTTCGATTGGAAAAGCAGCACCCCGCCTAAGCACGTTGATGACAACTTGTGGTGTAGACTGCAACGGTCCAACCCAGCAGACTTACAACTGAGTGAGCTTTGGGAGGCCCACAAGAAACGAGGGGATCTCCCCGAACAAGTAGTTGTTATGGAGGCGGCTGCGATATGAGCAGAGAGGATGATGGCGGGATGAGACGAGAGGCGGAACGTAAAAGGGGTGTGTGAGGCTCGCACAGGCATGACAACTGAGGCGCCTCAAAGGGAGAATCAAATACTTGCGAGACGCGAGACAGAAATAGGCGGAGGGGGATTGGGAGAGAAACGGGTGTGGGAGCCAGCAAGCATGAGGCAAGCAGGTTGAGCAGCATCAGTGTGCAACAGTCTGCTGCCCCACTCACATGTCAGCCAGCACTGGCAAGAAGCGCAAGTATGTGGTGAACGAATCAATGCGGTAGTTGAGGAGATTGGCTGACAAGGACCTGTGAGGGGCGAGCAGAGAGTGGCGCAGGGTGAGGGGCGAGGAGAGGGTGGCGGAGGGTGAGGGGCAAGGAGAGGGTGGCGGAGGAGGGTGAGGGGCGAGGAGAGGGTGACGGAGGAGAGATTATTGCGCATGAAGCCCAGCTAGGTGCCTCATGGTTCATCTAAGCTCAGTGAGGGGTGTGCGCTTCCACTGCATGTTACTGGAATATGGATGACGCAGCAGGTGATTCAACGGCAGGAAGCATTATACGAAGGGCCAGAACAACCAGAGCATAGCAGAGAGGTGGACAACAACTCACAGGTAGGTGAGAGCAGAGAGCGTGGAGATCTCCATAGCAAGCGAGCCCAAAAGGTTTGCGTTCTCCAATCCTCTGATGCACCCCACGCGTTTATGGGGAAGCGTTGGGAGAGAGGCACATGCAACGCAACAGCGGGGTGAGCATGAGCATGATGACCATGGTGAGCATGGTGAGCATGGTGAGCATGGTGAGCATGGTGAGCATGGTGAGCATGGTGAGCATGGTGAGCATGGTGAGCATGGTGAGCATGGTGAGCATGATGAGCATGGTGAGCATGGTGAGCATGGTGAGCATGGTGAGCATGGTGAGCATGGTGAGCATGGTGAGCATGGTGAGCATGGTGAGCATGGTGAGCATGGTGAGCGTGATATGCAGACGCATGGCAAGCGGATGATGCAGCAGCACAACAGCGGTCAGATGATGCAAGCACACGACTGGCTCACAAACTGCCCCACGTGCCTTTTCCATTGGCGAAATGTTTCAAAACTAAGCTGGTTGGCTAGCAAGAAAGCCTCATAATAATGCCAAAAAACCTCACGTGCCGGGCCAATCATGACCACTTACATGCCCACGACACTGCCAGTGCTGTCACAGGACACGCCGGTCCAGATTGCGACCCTGGCAATCTGCCCTGGGAGCTTGCACGGCACACTGGCCGCCCACGTGGTGTAGGTGACGCCGAGCGACGACTTGATGGCGAGCATGGCTGGAGGGGGGCACGTGGGGAAGAAGGCAGCAAGGCAAGCAGTGGGCGGTGGATGGAGGTGAGGCCCCAAGGAGCATGCGAGCACGTGGAGTGGAGGCTGTCCACAGGCCCTGTGAGCGCTGGGAACTGAAATTGCTAAATGCCCCGGCCGCCATAGCCCAACCACGCCCAGCGCCCTCATCAGACATCAACAGCCCACATGGACGCGCAGTGTGCAGCCACGTACCCTGTGCCAACCACCCAGAACCCATAACCCAAAGGCTCCTAATGCTTACCTGCGCTGTCCTTCATAGCCACTGGCGGGAACAAGCAAAACAAGGGGACCGCGGGCTGTGTGGCCGAATTCACAATGCCACCGTCGACATTGTCATATGCATTCACCATGCACGCCCCTCCCGTGGCAGTGCAGAAGGGGCCCACGCCGTTGGTGGTGCCATAAAAGGAGCATTCCGCTGCAGTCCTCTGAACGGTGCCGGCGGCGTTGCACTTGGAGGGCGTGACGAGGAAGTTGTTGTTGCCGCTACATGACTTGTAGGCTGCCGTTGGCAGGTCCGTGAGGTAGTTGAATCGAGCATCAAGTGTGAGAAGGCCGGTGGCGAGCGCTGGCACGGTGCCGAAGAGGTAGTTCTAGGCGATGCCGCTGTTGAGAAGGGAGCAGCAGGGAGGAAATGAAGGGCGGTGTAAGGAATGGGATAAAAGGATGGGAGGGTGAGGCAGGAGAGAAAAACGGCATGCAGCCATAAGGTCCATAAAGCCCTCAACTGGCTCAGAACAGAGACCTGTCATCTTAACAGCATGCAGCCATGTGGCACATGCATGATTTCCCAACAGCTAATGAACTGTCCTTATGCCATCCCGATTCCCAACGGACATACAGCTGAGTGAGCTTTGGAAGGCCCACGAGAAACGAAGGAACCTCCCCGAAGAGGTAGTTGTACTGCAGGCGGCTGCAGGAGCGGCAACCAAGGGCGGGAAATAAGTGGTGGCACGTGGTGAAAGGGGTAGTGCTTATGCAGGCATGGCGAGGTGCCTGAGGAACCGCACAAAAGGAAAAACTGAGGCAGAAGCAGAGCTTCAAAGATTGCTTGAGAAACAGGTGTGGGAGCAACGCGAGACACGACAGCACCAACGATTTCATGCTATTGTCCCTCCCCTCCGTAGCTGACCACACTCTGCCACTCACATGTCAGCCAGAACCAGCAAGGATCGAAGATCCGTGGTGAAGGAATCGAGGCGCTGGTGGAATAGATTTCCCTGCAGGTTGCTGTGAGGCGCAAGCAGAGGGTGAGAGAGGCGAGGTCATTGCTGCACTGCCAACAGCATGCATCATGGTTTGCCTAGGCACGTGCATGGATGCATCAAGGTTTGCCTAGGCACGTGCATGGATGCATCAAGGTTCGCCTAGGCACGTGCATGGATGCATCAAGGTTCGCCTAGGCACGTGCATGGATGCATCAAGGTTCACCTAGGCACGCGCATGGATGCATCAAGGTTCGCCTAGGCACATGCATGGATGCATCATGGGCATCGATGCATGTGCGACGCAATAGAAATGAACCAGGAGCAGCCAGTCACATGGACGAAGTCGCTTTTACTAGAAAGCATGGATAGAGACTCGCAGAGCATAGAAGACACAACTCACAGGTAGGTGAGGGCTGTGAGTGAGGCGACATCCGAAGTGAGCGAGCCCTTGAGGTTTGCCTTAGTCAAACTTCTGATCACCAACGGTGTGTGGCAAAGTGTTGGGGCGACACAGCAACAGAAGATGGAGAAGATGAGTATGTATGATCATGCTAACCAGGTGCATAATCATTAACCTGTTGTAATGTGCAGTATCATAAAAATGAGTGCAAAACACAAGCAAAACAGAAATGATGTAATCTCAAGTCAACGATGACTGCTATAGCTTATTCAGCATTTATGGAAAACAGATTATGCATTTGTGCACGCTTGAAAATGATCCATGGCTGGATGATCACATGCGGCAAATGACGAGCATCAAGCTTATGCAGACTAACTCAGGTGCCCAGCATGACGACTCACATGCTGACGACACTGCCAGTGCTGTCACAGACCACGCCACTCCAAGTTGTGAATGTGGTGCTCTGCCAAACCAGCATGCACGGCACACTTGCCGCCCAGCTGGTGAATGTGACGCCCAGCGAAGACTTGAGGGCCAGCATGGCTGGACGGGGGCACACAGGGAACGGGGAAACAGGCAGCGAAAGGGAGAGGGAAACGCCAAGGAGCACGTGAGAAAAGTGGAGGCAGGGTACTTGCCCTGTGGACGCTGCCCCCGGCCCCGCAGCCCTACCACGCCACACCCACCGCTCTCATCACCATCACTCCCTTTAGACTCCCCCCATTGACCACGTGTGCTGCTCGTCCACACCCATTGCTGACCTGCCATGTTAGACACAACAAATGCATCTACAACGGAAAATGACCTGCTCCTTGCCCCACTGCCCCCTGCCTACCTGCGCTCACTTTGATGCCCACAACCGCTCCGCCCACGCATGTCCTGGCGAGTGGAGTGGTCAACGACTTGCTGCCGGTGCCGGCAGCAGTGGGGACAGAAAGCGTCCACCGTGCACACTCCTCCTGCCCCCCAGCACAGCGGGGGCACGCCGTTGGTGCCGCAATAGACACACTCCCGCCGCAGCCCTCTGAACCGTGCCTCCAGAGGGGCACTTGGAGGGCGTGGTGAGGCAGTTGTTGTTGCCGCCACAAGTGGAGTAGCTGAATGTCGGAAAGTCCGTGAGGAAGTTGAACGCCATGTTCAATACGACCAGACCGGCGCGGACCGGAGGCACGGTGCCCATGAGGTAGTTGTAGGGCGCTTCACTGGCCAAGGGATAAAGCAGCCAAGGGGGGAATGAAGGGCGGCTTAGGGAGTGGGTCACAGGACGAGAGGGCGAGGGAGAACGGGAACGGCTCCTCACCCTACAAAGCAACACGCAGCCACATGGTGCATGCAATCCCGACCAGGCTGAGAAGTGACTTACAGTTGAGTGATCTTTGGGATGTTCACGAGAAAGGAAGGGATCTCCCCGTACAAGTAGTTGATGTGCATGCGGCTGTGAGAGAAGCATAGAGGGTGGAGGTGGAAGGTGATGAGAGGCATCATCTGGAAGGGATGAGGCTCATGCATTCATGAGGGCTGAGGATAACCCACAGTATTATTATGATCTCAAAGAAAAAGGGAGCAAAAAGAAAACAGCAACAGCAACTGGTATGAGCAGAAAGAGGGATCGGTTCATGTGAGAGAGAAACGACTGTGATAAAAACAAGTGCTCTTCCCTGGCCGGCCGCAGTGTGCCACTCACATGTCGACCAGATTTGGCAAGTCTTTCATGCTTGAGGTGAAGGAGTCGATGCGGTAGTTGAAGAAGTTGGACATCAGCGACCTGCAAGAGTCGGGCAGAGGTGAAGGAGGCTATTGCACTTGAACCTCCACCACACGCATCAATGCATCATGGCTCCACATTACATCTCACTGCACTAAAGCAGGTCGAAAGAGGAGACACATCATCGAAGCAACATGCTGGTTAACCACGTGAAAGCCGTGAGAGCATAAGAGCAGAGCATATGGGACTCACACTCGGGTGAGAGCCGTGAGCGCGGACATGTCAGCATGGAGTGACCCCTTGAGGCCTAGGCCGTCCACAGCGCTGATGCAGGGAAGAGAATAAGCCCACCCCACGTGTGACACACAGAACGCAACGGGGCAGGTGAATCAGTATGGCATGCGGTTGGGATGACACAGAGGTAGTAGTCAGAGCATGCACAAAGCTGATTGAAGCAGCAAGATGAACGAGACATGGCATGGTGCGGGTGATGTAGAGGTGTGGCCGAGGTGTGCACTCACAATAGGACCGCCTTGCCATCGCCGTTGCACCAGACACCATTCCATTCACCCGAGAAGCCCACCGAGCTTCCAAACAGGCGGCACGGGCTGGTGGCGGTCCACGTGGTGTACGCCACACCCAGCGTGCTCTTGATGTTCAGCAGGGCGGCAGCTGTGGGGATGGCACGAGGAGAAAGGGAACTTACGCGAGAGGAACAAGGGATGAATTGGAAGATCAAGCGTGGCGGAGAGTGTGGGGGGTGGTGGAGCACAAAGCACCAAGGTTGAATGTGTACAATGGTGGTGAACACATGAGTTGTAACAAGTAGGCCTGAAGAGGCAACGAACCGTCAATGGGGTGGATGGAAATGGGCACGTCCACGCAAGCCAGGTTCGATTGCCCCGCATTCACCGTCCCAGCCGCAATCAGAGCACTAGCGTCCTGCGGCAAACATGCCTTCCCGGGTCCGCACAGCGTGCCCGTGCCGTCAGTGCTGCCGCAGATGCTGCACTGGCCTGCAACCCTCGCTTGCCAAGCGCAGTTGCCCGGGCTAGAGAAGCAGTTGTAGTAGGCACTGCAAAGCTTCCAGGATGCGGACGGCATGACCCCAGCGAAGAAGTTTCGGACCAATGTCCAGAGACTTAAAGTTGGTTATGCTCGCTGGGAGCGTGCCCATGAGGTAGTTGCATCGCAGCCTCCTGAGGGTGTGGGGTGGGGCAGGCAACCAATATTGAGAAAGGGCTGGAACACCATCGTGCACCCGCTTTGAGTGAAAGCGCAGCACTAGTACCCTAATATCTAGACAGAGAAGACGAGCATTTTGCCATACTTACACATCGTTCAACATGGGCAGAGTTGTGAACACACTCGGAAAACTCCCAGAGAAATAATTGTACTGCATGGATCTGCAAGGACAAGGGAGACACAAGCACACACACAATGGAAGGAGAGGACGAGTATGAGGACGAGCATGAAGCAAGAAATCACAACAGCAACGGCAAGACCTGCAAGAATCCAGCGATACACACACAGACTTCAAGTTGGTGAGAGTGTAAAAGTATTTGACGTAGTCTGCAAAGCTGCCGTCCAGGAAGTCTGACGGCACCCACCTGCACACAGCAAGGCAGGCCGATTGCGGTCAGTTCGACCGCAAGGCAGCCTGATTGCCAGCAGTATCGACTCACCACATTTAAGAGCTGCAATGCATGTCTCATGCATGCCACACAAGAGTAAACAAGAACAGTGAATCCCTCCTGCCTACACTACACTGCATCCTCGGGTAACTCCCACAACATGGAGCACGTACACGCCGGTAAGAGTCGTGAGCTTAGAGATGTCTGAGGGGAAGCTCTTGCGCACGAGTTTCGCGGATTCCAGGTTGCTGAGAGCAGCCACACACACACACACACACACACACACAAACAGATGTAGAAACGCAACGATACAGTGAGACGGAAATCATAAGCTGCGCAGACACAAACGAGTGCAAGCTTAAATGAATTGACCCAACACACTTCTCTGCCGCCTGCACTCACATCGAGTAGAGGCGGCCAAAAGGCGTGCAGGTCACTCTCTCCCACTCGTCCCAATTTGGAGAAGTGCCTTCAGCAAGGCACGGAGTGGTGGTGGCCCACGAGGTGAAGGTGAGCCCCATGGCCGACTTGATGTTGAGCAGGGCCACCGCTGATGGGCGCATGGGGGACGGCAGGCGGGGGGAAGCGCACGTGGTGAGTTACAGAGAGGTTGAAACGGCGCGGACAGCGAGAAGGCCCGCCCACTGGCCTTCAGGGCCAGGGGCATGCATATTGGATGGTTGTATGCTTAGACTAGTTGCTTAGCCGAGAGTAGCCCAAGACTTACTTTGTTTGTTGCTATATGAGCACTTATACTAACCAGCGTTCAAGAAGAGGTATGAAGCAGGTGGTGTAGTAGTACAGTGGCACTCACCATCCGAAGGGTACATGTAGTTGGTCCCGCCAGTGCACCCCATGAAGAGCAAGGGAAGCACCGGCGCATTCACAGTGCCCGCGGCAACATTTGCAGCCGCATCCGGCATGTACACCCCTCCCGAGGCAGTGCAGAAGGGGCCCACGGCGTTGGTGGTGCCGCAGATGGCACAGTCCGCCGTAGGCCTCTGAGTGGAGCCAGCGGTGGCGCACTTGGAGGGCGTGAGCAGGCAGTTGTTGTTGCCGCCACAGTACGTGTAGGTGACTGCTGGCACGTCCGTGAGGAAGTTGTATCGCACGTCCAGCGTGCAAAGACCGCTGGAGAGTGCCGGCACGGTGCCTGTAAGGCAGTTGCTGGCAACGCCACTGGCCAAGGAAGAGAGCAGCGAGAGAGGGGTGGGAGGCGCTATAAGAAGCGGGCAAACGCGATGATCGGCCAAAGAAAGTGGGAAACTTCTCAAAGCAATGTGCAAGCATATGGTGCGGTGCACAGACTGACAACTGAGTGATTTTTGGGAGTCCCACGAGAAACGAGGGGACCTCGCCATACAAGTAGTTGTAGTGCAGGCGGCTGCGAGAGGAGCAGAGACAAGGTTGCCGGTATGAGATGATGAGGGGCGGCATGTAGAAGGGTAAGGCAAGCACAGGCATGACAAAAAGCACCTCATAACGAAAAAAGCAATATAAAAGGCATGAGCAGGTCAGAAGACTGAGAGTGAAGTGCGGTCAAAGCTGATACAAGACAAGACAGCTCCGCGAGTCTCCTCCTCTCACTCCCCCCTTGACTGCCACACGTTGCCACTCACATATCGGCCAGTACTGGCAGGGCTTTAAGGTTGGTGGTGAATGAATCGAGGCGCTGGTGGAATAGATTTTTCTGCAGGTCGCTGTGAGGCGCAAGCAGAGGGTGGGGGAGGCGAGGTCATTGCTGCACTGCCAACTGCATGCATCACGGTTCGGCTAGGCACATATCTATGGATCATTGGCATTCACTGCGTGTTGTCGCAAAAGGAACCACCCAGGTGCGGCCAGTCCCAAACAAGTCTTTTAAAGCGGATCCGTGAGAGCTTACAGGTAGGTGAGAGCTGAGAGCAAGGAAACAGCTGCTGGTAGTGAGCCCTTGAGGTTTGCGTTAGACACGCCTCTGATGACCAATGGGTTGGGAGGGCACAGCAACTGCAGATGAGAAGATGAGTGTGCTGTACAATCATGCTAACCACGTGCAGAAAGCGCTGATTTGCTGTGATGTGCAGAATCACGGAAACAGATGCGAAAGAACAAGTAAATTGTGCAAGTAAGATATGACTACTACATTATTTTTCAGAATATACTGAAAGCGTATTATTCACACGTGCTCACATTCACACATGCTCACATGCACACATGCTCACATGCACACATGCTCACATGCACACATGCTCTCATGCACACATGCTCACATGCACACATGCTCACATGCACACATGCTCACAATGCCTTGCTGATGCAGCTCACTTTCGAAACAGAGGAGATGTGCAAAATTGATGTGCCACGACGAGGTTTCAGTCACAAACGAGGTAAGTGTAGATTAAGTCAAGTTTCGATCCGACCATGCCAACTCACATGCTCAGGACGCTGCCAGTGCTGTCACAGAGCACGCCGCTCCAGGTTGTGACTGTGGTGCTCTGCCCAGCGATTTTGCAGGGGACACTGGCCGCCCAGCTGGTGAAAGTGACGCCCAGCAAAGACTTGAGGGTGAGCATGGCTGGAGGGGGGCACGCAGGGATAGGGGAACAAGGCAGGTAGCGAAAGGAGAGAAAACAACCAAGGAGCACGTGAGCAAGTGGGGGCAGGGTACGGGCCCTGTGGTGTGGACGCTGGCCCCACAGCCCCACCACGCCCACCGCCCTCAGCAGGCAACGCTGCTGCACCACCACTGCCCCCGCACACTCCACCAATGGCCACGTGTGCTGCTCGTCCACACCCATTGCTGACCTACCATGTTAGGCACAATGGAGGCATCAACAGCGCAAAAGGACAACTGCGGTGTACTGCCCTGTCCCGTGCCCCACTGCCTCCTGCCTACCTGCGCTTTCTTTCACCAACACAACATCTCCGCCCACGCAGGTCCGGGCAAGTGGAGTGGTCAATGCTTTGCTGCCAGTGCCGGCAGCGATGGGGACAGAAGCGTCCACCGTGCACACTCCTCCCGCCCCCCAGCACAGCGGGGGTACGCCATTGGTGCCGCAATACACACACTCCGCCGCAGCCCTCTGAACCGTGCCTCTAGAGGGGCACTTGGAGGGCGTGGTGAGGCAGTTGTTGTTGCCGCCACAAGTCGTGCAGCTGAATGTTGGGAAGTCCGTGAGGAAGTTGAACGCCATGTTCAACACGACCAGACTGGCGCCCACCGGAGGCACGGTGCCCATGAGGTAGTTGTAGGGCGCTTCACTGGCCAAGGGAGAAAGCAGCCAAGGGGGGGGATGAAGGGCGGCTTAGGGAGTGGGTCACAGGACAAGAGGGCGAGGGAGGATCAGAAACAGCTCAAAGCAGCAGGCAGCCACCAGGTTTGAGGAGTGAATTACAGCTGTGTGATTTTTGGAATGTTCACGAGAAATGAGGGGATCTCTCCGTACAAGTAGCTGATGTGCATTCGGCTGCGAGAGGAGCATAGATGGTGGGGACAGTCATCATGTGGAAGGAAAAAGGCTTGAGCAGTCATGAGGACTGAGGTGCCTCACAACAGCTCACGATATAGTTATGATCTCGAAAAAGAGAAGAACGAAAAGAAAACCACAATAACAACAGCAGTTGGTGCAGTGTACTAGGCATGAGCAGAAACTGGGGTCGGATCATGTGAGAGCGAAGCGAGTGTGAGAAAAACAAGGTGCAAGCCAGGACACAAGTGAAGATCTCGTTCTCTCGCCCCTCACCTCGAGCCCTTTCCTCGCTGGTCAGCCTCACTGTGCCACTCACATGTCGACCAGATTGGGCAAGGCTTTCATGCTTGAGGTGAAGGAGTCGATGCGGTAGTTGAAGAAGTTGGACGTCAGCGACCTGCGGGGGAGGGGCGAGCAGAGGGCAAATGGGGCGAGCAGAAGGCAAACGGGTGCATGCAGAAGGCAAAGGGGGGCGTGCAGAGGGCAAAGGGGCGAGCAAAAAGCAAAGGGGGCGTGCAGAGGGCGCAGGTGAGGTGAGGAAAAGGAGGTGAGAGAGGCTATTGCACTTGAACCTTCACCACACGTATCAATGCAACATGGCTCCACATGACCACAAAAGCAGGCCAAAATAGGGAAGGCATCATCGAATGCAGCAACATGGTGGTAGGAGAGCCATGTGAAAGCGAGTAGAGCAGGATAAGAGTGAAGTAGAGGAGACTCACACTCGGGTGAGAGTTGTGAGCGCGGACATCTCAGCGTGGATTGACCCCTTGAGGCCTAGGCCGTCCACAGCACTGATGCACGGAAGAGATTGAGCCCACCCCACGTGTGACACAGAATGCAAGAGGGCAGATGAGTATGCTACCCCATTGGGAGAGGACACACACAGAAAGCAGTCAGAGCATGCACTAAGCGATTGAAGCAGCAGGATGAATGAGACACGGCATGGTGCGGGTGATGTAGAGGTGCGGCCGAGGTGTGCACTCACAATAGGACAGCCTTGCCGTCACCGTTGCACCAGACACCATTCCATTCGCCCGGGAAGCCCACCGAGCTTCCAAACAGGCGGCAAGGGCTGGTGGCGGTCCACGTGGTGTACGTCACACCCAGCGTGCTCTTGATGTTCAGCAGGGCGGCAGCTGTTGGGGGTAGCACGAGGAGAAAGGGAACTTACGCGAGAGGAATAAGGGATGGGTCGAGAGAGCAACTATGGCGGTGAGTGTAGGGGGTAGTGGAGCACGAAGCACTACCAAGGTTGAAGTGTGTACAAGTGGGCTTGAAGGGGCGACTGACCATCAACGGGGTGGATGGTGATGGGCACGTCCATGCAAGCCCGGTTCATTTGCCCCGCATTCACCGTCCCAGCCGCGATCAGAGCACTAGCGTCCTGCACCATACATGCCTTCCTGGGTCTGCACAGCGTGCCCGTGCTGTCAGTGCTGCCGCAGATGCTGCACTCGCCTGCAACCCTCGCTTGCCAAGTGCAGTTGCCCAGGTTAGAGAAGCAGTTGTAGTAGGCACTGCAAAGCTTCCAGGATGCGGACGGCATGACCCCAGCAAAGAAGTTCTGAGTAATGTCCAGAGGCTTAAAGTTGGTTATGCTAAACCACCGTGGAAGACTAAAATCCTTTGACTTTTTTTTAAAATTATATATTTCCTGAAGTATTGCAAATATCTGGATTCGAACCCGTGTGTAAGGAATTTTTCGGATTCCTTACTGGGTCACACTGTAAGCGTACAACCCCGACTTTCGGAAAACCAGGCTCGGTCCGCCGACCTCGCCTTCCGAGCCACTACCGCGTCGCTTTCGGGTTTCCCAACCCCGAACTTGCACCCAACCATCTCGCGACCCCGCGACCTCAGCCTAGCTAGCTTCGGTATATTAGTCCTAGGCCTCGTTGTGTTCTCAGACGTTGTAATCACTTCCGCATTATTGAGTTTCTGCGCACTCTTCCTTTCACAACCCATAACACCGTGGCCTTTCAGTCCAGAAATGAGCTCTAAACCACCGGACACACAACTCTGTCAGTGTTCTTTGTCTAAAGAAACTGACCTGAAAGCAGGAAAATCGAGATGTTGTTTGTTATCCTTATCGCGCCAACTGTCGCCACCTGTCGCACCACCTTCCATACAAACACCTCATCGCATCAAGACACGTTCTCTCTGGCTAGATCGTGCAAAAATCGATCTAGCACCGTAACAAAACCTCGCGCATTGCACTTAAAACATCTGGACATTTCTTTTAACCACGTTGAGAACCGAACCTGCGTAGGATCGACCGCAGGGTCGCCATTCAGTTGACGCGCCCTCGACTAACCATCCACAACCCCACCTTCTCGACATTCCCCCTTCTTGTCCACTCACTTCAGCATTTCTGTTTCACTTCTACGTATTCCATGTTTTAATCTCGCTATTATCTTGCCAGCTAGTAGCTCAGCCTTCCCTATCTTCTAGGAGTCCTTATCTTGCCGTTCCCTGGTCCTTATCTGTTCGCTCCCTAACCCTTAATGTCACAGATCGAATTCTCAATCGAAACTTGTCACTAAAACTGAATACAAGGCATTTTTATACTCGGAGAATACAAGGATAATCGAGATAAAACGAACCTTCGGGAACACGCCCTTCCCGATACTATAATCACAAGTGCGCACAAGCACGCAAGGCTATTGGCACTTGGGATTACGCCCATATTACACCGTATACACTACTGTCGGCGCTGTCGGTGCCGTATAATAGGTATGTCGGTGGGAAAAGTAGGAAATAAGAGGAATAAATAGAAGGCTCTAGAAAATAGAATAGTAGGCCGATTGAGATGAGATAAAGACCAAAATAAAGAGGAGAAAAGGGAGAATAGGATAACGGAAAAATATAATAGTGAGAAAATATTATAACGGGGACGTCCTCTCACACTTCCCCCCCTCAAAGCTGGGTGGTAGAAGTAACACCCTGCTTTACAAGGTAGTCCTGGAGAGGACGGCGGGCGTTATCCATGTCGTGTTCAGGTACCCAGGTATCCTCGGAAGGATCATAGCCTTTCCAACGAATCAAGAGCTCCAAGGTGCCGTTACGTCGTCGTCGGTGCGCCAGAACGGCTTCGACTTTGTACTCGGGTTCCCCATTAACGATCACTGGCAGTGGCGGCGGCGGCTGGCGACCTTTGAAGACCGTGTTTGGGTCCCGATAGGGCTTGAGAAGTTGAACATGGAAGGCATTGTGAATTCTCCAGGTAGCTGGTAAACGCAAGCGGAAGGTTACTGGAGTGACCTGCGCCTCGACGAGAAAAGGTCCGCAGAAGCGAGGTCGGAGCTTAGACGGAAGATGGCTAATGTCGAGATTGCGTGTATCCAGAAGCACTTGATCGCCAATCTTGATGGAATGATCGTTGCGACTCCGATCAGCGAGCTTCTTTTGTTGCTGCTGGATAGTCAGAAGACGTTTATGTGTGCGCTCCCACAATTGGTGCATAGTGGAAATGAAGTCATGTGCGGGTTGCACCGTGGCGGGTACTGTTGGTGTCTGAGGCGTGAGTGGGTTGCGACCGTAACAGAGGAAGAAAGGAGTTTGCCCTGTTGCGGCGTGCGTGGCGTTGTTATACGCAAACTCGAGAACCGGCAGATGTGCATCTCATGTAGAGATATCGTCCTTACACGCTGCTCGCAGAAGCTGTTCGACAATCTGGTTGAGGCGCTCTGTCTGACCATCCGTTTGGGGATGATAGGCTGATGACATGGCGAGTTTGGTCCCCATGAGCGACATGAGCTCCTTCCAGAACTTACTCGTGAATTTCGGGTCTCTGTCGGAGATCAGTGTGGTTGGAATGCCATGTTGCGAGATGACGTAGCGGAAGAATAATTGCGCTGTCTCCTCGATGCGAGCCGTTGAGTGTGTCGGAATGAAGTGTCCCATTTTGGAGAATTTGTCGATGACGACTAGAATGGCGTCGTAACCAGCTTTGGTAGGTGGTAACCCGGTGATGAAGTCGAGGCTAACCACTTGCCAAGGCTGTTCAGGGACTGGAAGAGGTTGTAGTAACCCTGCTTTCTTCTGTTTGCTGCTCTTCATCCGTTGGCATGTGTCGCACGAGGTGACGAATTTGTGTACGTCATCCGCCATGTGGGGCCAATAATAATGCTTCGCAATACCGGCAAGCGTCTTGTTACTACCGAAGTGGCCCGCGTAGAGAACATCATGATATTCTTCGAGCAGTAACTGGCGTAAGGGAGGATAATTAGGTACCCATATTTTTGTTGAGCCCTTGCGGTATGCGATGTCTTGATCCCATTGTAGAAGATGGCGCTTTTCTGCTACAGAGACTTCGGGGTCGATGGTGTATCCATGCGTGAAGAGTCCCTTCAAAAGTGGGTTCATGCCATCGATTTGTAAGGCGGCAACGTGTGCAGGGCGACTCAGTGCGTCTGCCTTGTTCTTGTGCCCCGGCTTATACATGATGTCGTAATGGAAGTGGGTTTCGAGAAAGTCAATCCACTGGACCTGCCGCCTGGAGAGTGTTGGTTGGGTCTTCAGGTACTTGAGGCTGCAGTGGTCAGTGTAGGCAGTCGTTTTTCTTCCTTCGAGATAACACCTCCATGCCTTAAATGCGTTGACGATGGCGAGGGCCTCTTTGTCATGGATGGGGTAATTGAGTTCTGCCCCGTGAAGTTTTTTACTGAGGTATGCAATGGGTTGCAGTCCCTTCCCTTGATCCTGCATGAGTACTGCGCCCACTGCTTGATCGCTAGCATCGGCCTCGACGATATAGTCAAGTTCAGTGTCTGGCAGGATAAGGACAGGTGCGGACGTGAGTGCGGTTTTAAGTTGTTCCACGGCTTCCTGGTGCTTCGCCTCCCATTGATATGGTGTATTCTTCTTCAACAGGTTCGTTAATGGTGCGGCAATCTTGGCGTAGTTCGGTACGAACCGGTTGTAGTAGTTGGCGAATCCAAGGAACTGTTGTAACTCCTTCACGTTCTCAGGGGTCTTCCACGTTCGCACTGCTTCGATCTTCTTAGGATCCACGTGAACTCCTTGAGCACTCACCATATGTCCAAGGAACTGGACTCTTTTCAACGCAAACTCGCTCTTGGATAGTTTCACGTAGAAGCGTTCTCGTCGAAGAATTTCAAACACCCGTTGCAGATGCTCAACGTGCTTCTTCATATCTTTCGAGTAGATCAGGATATCGTCCAAATATACCACCACGCACTCGTCCAGAAGGGGCCGAAGGATGTGGTTCATTTCTGCCTGAAATGTGGCTGGTGCGTTAGTGAGTCCGAATGGCATTACGAGATACTCGTATGACCCATACCGAGTTCGAAAAGCGGTTTTGTGGATAGAGTTGTCCGCCATACGAATTTGCCAGTATCCCGATCTGAGGTCGAGCTTGGAGAATACCGTAGCACCGCGAAGTTGATCGAGTAAGTCGTCGATCCGTGGTATCGGGTATTTATTTTTTACAGTCTGCTTGTTCAAGGCTCGGTAGTCGATGCACATTCGCAGACTTCCGTCTGGCTTCGGAGTGAAGAGAACTGGAGCTCCGTACGGTGAAGTCGAAGGTCGAATCAACCCTTTCTCCAGGAGATACTCTATTTGTTTTTTCATATCGGCAAGCTCTGTCAGGCTCAGCCGGTATGGTGCTCAGAACGTTGGCTTGGACCCCGGCTCTTCTACGATCTCGTGTTGATGCAACCGGTATGGCGGTAGTTGATCAGGTAAATCGTCGGGGAGAACGTCCTGGAACTCTTCAAGAATTTTCTTGACTGCTGGAGGAAGTTCCTGGGTCTGCTTCTCTCTGTTGTCTGCTTCGTTGACTATCGCCATGAATCCCGCCGTAGTCCGTTTGACGTCCTTTTCAAAGCGTGCGAGTGTCTCGACTGGAATATTTCCCGTGTCTTCCCATTTGGGAAGGCTGATTTTCCTCCCGTTGTTGTTGATGTTGGCCGTCCGGTTAACCCAGTTGATCTCGGGGTTGAACTTTTTAAGAAAGTCTCTCCCGAAGATTACGTGGAGTCCTTTGATATTTGTGACGGGGAGAGCAGGCTTCCATCGAAAGGGTCCAATCTGGAGTAGCAACCGTGTTTCCCCGTAGATAGGTAGCTTACTGCCATCCACCATCGTTGCAGAGAAGCTTGAGGACTTGATGTCACTTCCGAGTCGATCGATTGCCTTTTTGTCATAGACGCTGTGCGACGCCCCGCTGTCCACGAGTGCTTGGAGGCGCTGTCCGTTGCAGATCACCTCGAGCAGGAGTGGTGAGCGTTGCTCGGAGTACCCAAAAATAGTCTCATTAATAGGATCATAGGGCACATCCCAATATTCAGTACTCACCGTGGTTCCACTGCTTTCTTCTGGACAACTAGCTGGCCTGGGCTGCGTGGAGAAAGGCTCTTCTCCAACGCCAGGAGTAGAGGTAGTAACCGTACAAGTTGACCCTGAGGGGGTGGATCCGGTCGACGCCTGCAATCCACTGGATGCATCCTGGAGGGGTTTTCGGAGTTTTTGCAGCTTCTTTTGAACTCCCAGCTGCCTCTTCAGCTGCTTCAGCTCCATAGA